TGCCTAAGTCTTTTGTTTTGGCTGTGAGAGCGTTGACTAATGGCGCAGTAAATACCTGCGTTGGCATGTGAAAGTATTAATTGCTAATTAACTGCATACATACTCGAGTTAATTAACTTAAAAAACCAAGTTACGAAAATGTGAAACAAATTTACAATAATAAAATTAAAGTGTTGTGTGAAGTTTGTTTCCCAAGTCATTTATATTTAAAAATAAAATTGCAATAAAATATATGCAAATTGCAATAAAATATATATGTACATATTATTTTAAAAACATTCCTTTTAAAACATCGTTTATTAATTTTACCATTTCTTTATTCTAAGTGCACGGTTTTATATGTCTTACAATTTTTTTATTGCAACCCAAATTATTCGCATAATTTGTTCTTTTTTGCTGAAAGCCTACGGTTAGTTTTTTAACATTTCCTGTGACATGGGTACAAGCCGGCCAGAACTTAAACATTCTGGTTTCGTGTTTGTCTGGCGAAATGAAAGCCATAGATACAGTGATGCCAAAATATATGCCAAAAAGATTCTCAGATTAAAAAATTCCACTGCGAACCGGTTCGAAGCGGTCTCCCAAATAAAAAATGCAAGAGCACAAAAAGAGTATTTTCATTGATTGCCATTGATTGTCAACGCCAATACATGTAGTATAAGGGTCTCCATAATCTCCACCTCCCCCTCCCTTACGGCGGCGCTCCTTTCTGTTCTCCAACTCACTCCAGTTTAATTTGGGCCCACAGCGCCCCAGGACAACCATTAAAGAAGATCGGGGAAAAGGCCAGCAAAAATACAAAACAACAATAAACAAAAAGCAAAAACGAGATAAATTGTGGGTTCAGTTGGCTTTACCTGCCGCTGGGTGTGTCTGTCAGTCTGAACGTCTGAATGTCTGAAAGTCTGAAAGTCTGAGTGTGTGAGCATGCCCGGCAACTTTCGATGTGCTGAATTTCATTGTACAATTTTGGGCATCCCAATCCGAGAGTCGCTTCTCTTCTCACGGGAAAGGGAAAGTATGCAGTTATTGATACGGCTTCGGTTTCATGTTTTGATTGGGCAATCGCATCCCAATCCGAGTCCCAACTCAGTCAGTGCTCGTGAGCTCTAATTGAATGCGCCGCTCAGGGTGGAGAAACGCTTAACTTAATTGAATACGAAAGATCAGCATGTGAGCTGATTACGAGCTTCAAAGTTGACTGCGTGAAAATGGAAATAAACAATCATTTCCGAAGCCATAAAGAGCAGTAAGGGATTGGTGATAACCAATTCTGGAATTCAGGTTAATACGTAAACAGAAAATTAGATCTTTTTGTTAATCAAAAATTTTTAAACCGTACTAAGTAATTAATTTATTAAATAAATATAAATTGCAATACTCAGGAGTGATGGCTTTTGGCATAACCAACTAAAGCACCAAATTGCATATACAGATGCTAGTAAATTAAATTTTTTCCTTTGCCCATCTGTCACAATTCAAGTTCCTAGTCACCTGTTTGAGTTGCTAAAGAATTCCATAATTAACTGCATCAGCATTGGCCGACTTTGAGCAGGTGGCCCACCAAGAATCCACAAAAAGCCAAAGCCAAGATCGAGAAGAAATGAAAAACCTGCCGAACGAACCTGCCTCTTGACCCAATAAAGAGTCAAGCGATAAATTTCTGCTCAGCCTGCAACGTGGTCGGCTTCTTTCTTCTGCCCCTTTCTCATCAGGCAGCGAATTTTTGATTATTTATATATATTTTTCCCTCGCTCTTCGGAGCCTCTTTCACTTACTCCGGGCAAGTGGGCCATGTAACCGAAATGAGCCGAAAAAGCAGAAAAAATGCGAGGAAAAAATTGCTTGCGGAACCAGCTAATCTGAAAATTTAATCAGCTTAACAGTTGCGGCTGGGGAAGATGGGTCTGGGGGGGAAAATTGGGGAACAAAGGGGAATGAAATCGAAAAACCAACAGGTTGTGGCAGTAAGTCAGCGGGTTACAGTGTCACAGCTCACAGCTGACTTCCCCACCGAACCCGAATCCGAATCGGATCCCAGCCATCGATCTTCAAGCGATTCGCTGACTCAGGAGACAAAAGCCCAACTCATGGCGCTTTCTTTGACACTTTTCCAGTGGCCCAAGTGCCCCATTCAGATTTCAATTCGCTCTGTGTATCGAAAGCCCCGAAAAGCCGTTAGCTGGGTGTAACTGTTAACCGTAGCACTATTGCTGCTGCTGCCGCTGCCGCTGCTGCTGCTGCTGCTGCCTTTTTCTGTTTCAGTAAGCCATAACTGAGCTGAACAGTCCGGCGCTCCGAGATTCTGTTTTCTTTTAATTAAGCTTGCTGTAAAATAATTTTCACTTCACCCAATTTTCCCGCCCGAGTCTATGTAAATTCCCCCGGCAGCAGCCCCTGCACTTCCCCCACGCGAATGCGGCTTATTAGCTGCATGAAAGGTTTCGGCCCGGCTCCAAATGGCCCAGTAAACAGTGCAGTTAGCTTTAATTGATTCCAGCCCGCCGAGAGCCCAAGAGCCCGAGAGCCCGAGAGCCCGAGCTGCCCGCCCCAGTTGGCCGGATTCGTGCAATTAAGCGGTTACAGTGGCTGCCTGGCGGAGCATCTCTCGATGGAATGCATAAGTAAATGGCGGCGGTGCCTCGGAGTCCACTCCCCACTGCACTCCTGCTCATAGCCAGGCCTCCAAGCTTAATTGCAGGGTTCACATGGGAAGTTGGCACTCGATGCGCATTAACAAGCAACAAATCTCCGCCTAAGCACTGCACTGAGAACACAAATAAATACACTTTGCGTTTTCTCTGCACCAGCTTCCCTGATTATGGAAATACTGAGTCCTTAGGTGGAAAATACGTTAGTGGGATAAGTCGTTAAGGCAACATGTAGTAAGAGTTTGTAAAAAGCATCTTAGATTACTATTTAACGGGAGTCCAGTGATTTATCTACTACCACATCTTAGACAAAAAACAACATTGCTGACACATTTATCTGTTCAAAAGACACAATTTAATTGGAAATTGTATTGAATAATATAATTTTTAAAAACGCTTTCTAATATTCCTAATTTCGTAGCAGGAGTACAACTCGGTAAACGTTATACTTCCTAAGGTGATTTAAAAAACTATTTGATTGATTGTTATTGTTATTTAAAAATTAAAATTTGGAAATAACGTTGGTTCGAAAATCGAAAATGGTTTTTGATTTTATTTTGTTTAAATTACCCATTTTCAATTTGATTATTATTACTAAAATGCTATAAATTATAGATGAATAGTAACGAAAAACATTGTATTAGCAGTAACTTTTGTTAAGTCATAACTTTTAGCTAATTATTAAAGCGTCGTAAAATATATACTCGTACATGTCTCATTGTAGCTAGTTAGGAATCCATGATATTTTCTTTCTTATCCTACATTCTGATTAGTTTTTATGTGCCCAACTGCAGCTTAATGCTTAATGACGATTTCATTTTCACATATTACATAAGCCCGATTCATCGTCACTTAACGATTATGAACCACGCATGCCCAAGTCATAATAAACTTTAATTAACTTCGATTCACGCACGTCACGCACTTTGTAAGCGACAAAGCCAATTGGAACCAAACAAATGCAAAAAACCCAAGTCAAGCCCAAGCAAAGTCAATGAATCCGGTATGAATAATCGCAATTGTGCAACACACTTGTGCTGCCCTCCGTGGGCAGTGGTCAATGAATCATAGCCACTGCGTGGCGATCAGCTCTAGAAAACGCAGATGCAGATGCGATCGACACAGTTTTGAGGTTTTTAAGCCATTTGAAATGTGTCACGAAAGCAGAAAGAGTCGCCGAGTAACATATCTCGATTTGAAGTGGGTCAAGCCCGTATTTCAGTGGCAAAAAAGAAAATTAACAAACTTCTTGGTGCGCTCGACAATTGAACGCATTTGTGCGGGTGTGCAGACACCTTCAGCTCAGTACAGTTAGCACACTTCATTACGTTTGGCACACTTTGAAGGTACTCACATACCAAGTACCTGGTACTGAGTACTGAGTACCGAGTACCGAGTACCCCTTGGTTCCCCCAACTTTGCATTCTTTGCAACGCCTAATAAATTATGCAGCAAACGCAAGCTTTCTAAAAAGGAGAAGACGAAAATGAGCCGCAGAAGTGGAGAAGAATAAACACGTACGAGTACGAGTGAAAAAAATATATGAGTCTCCCTCGAGCATCTTCATCAACTGACTGGTGGCTTGTCGGGGCGAATTCTTTCTTATTTTCCAGGCTTTAGTGAACCGACATTCCTCGGAAATGTAACAAATTAGAATTACAATTATGTTCACGTGTGGAGAAGGTCTAAGAGTATCTCCCGTTTGTAATAACTAAATGCTCGCTTGAGCAGAACCCTTTGTGAAAACATATGATTATCACAGATAAGATCCATTCAGAACAAGCGTGAGAGATTCGCTTCGTTAAGATGGAGTGGTTAGAGTTGGGGAGTTTCGATTGAGAATGAAGTAGGTTCTTTAAATGACACACAAGAGTGCATTTTGGATTTATGTTAGGGTTTCCTCTCTATTATATTGTTAATCATAGTGAAGTATAATTTTTTGAGCATGCAATCGAATTTAGTCTTCATATTTTTTTTGCATTTAGCACATAAGAGTGCAGCATTGCTTTCATGTTTATTCTTAAAACCTATTTTTTTCATTTTAGCAATATAAATTATTCGAATTCGTTAGGCAAATCGGACAGTGCAATTTGCAATTATGGCCTAACTCCAGTGGATTTTATCAATTGAGAAATCTTCGCTAAGATTTCCTCAAGATCATGGCCTTGCTATCTCCACTTTCATCCTCCCACTTTGTTCGACACCGAGAAAGTTGGCTGCAGGCACAGGCCCCGCAATTAAAGTTCAATTTATTAACTGAATGCATGTGAGATTCTTTTGTTGGGCATGTCACTGTCGAGTTCCCCGCCCCCTTTTCCCCAATAGGCTCCCCTTGTGGAAGAGACTTACCTGTTACTTGAACGAGGAGCAGCAGAAGAGCCAGTGGCAACGTCGACACGACCGCGGCCATCAAGTGTCGATGGTCTCTTGGCATTCTATTGTTGGAACTTGCTGATGGCAGGGAAGTGCCTCGGCCCCCTCCTCCGACTCGCAGAGCCCCTCCTCCGCCTCCGCCTCTGTCTTCGGCTCTACTCGATTGTGTGTTGTGTGTTAAATTCTGTGGCTTTCGTCGCATGTTTGCATAAACTCCGAGTTCCGCGGCCACACTCTTTACCTCTTCGAGGTTATTGTCAGGGGTTTCTATTATTTATTTTCGGTATTTGTTGTTTTTATTGACGAACCGAGCTTTGGCGAGGCATATTTTGGCTTTAACCGTGTGTGTTTAGGCTGAAAGGAGGGAGAAAGGTGGTCAGTCGATTGTAGACAGCGAAAATGATTCTAAGGTTCGTGTCTTGAGTCCTTTGTTTTCGGAACAGTATTTGCCCTAAAATCAGTATTTAACCTAAACCCTGGCTACTTAGCTTGCCACACAAGCTAAAAGATTGAGTCTTGGGTGGACATTACGTCAGGCAGCCAAAGGTTGGACCGCATTGAACGACAGTACCCCGCAAGTCACATAATTTACATAAGCAGCGGCTTAGTAAGTCGATAAACCCGGCTATCTGAACGGCTTGAAAAGAAAACACTTTTAGAAAACACCTGGTTTTGTTTCCCAGTTACGTAAAGTGAAGCGTGCCATTCAGGCAACTAACCGAACTCGTCCGATTGAAATGCTAATTTTGATTGATGTCCAACGCTCAGAAATTGGCTGCAGCGAAAGTCGAGTAACAATTAGAGGTGGCAGAAAGCAAAAGTGAAATTCCGAGGCGAGCACGCAGCTATCAACTGGAGCGATCTGTCGCCCTAATCGATCTCCGAGATTACCCAACTGTAAGCGTGCTAATCAGAAGCCAAAACAAGCTTCAAATCGCCAGCCGCTGTAACTGAAGCAATTGCCGGGCGTTAGACGGAAAGTGAAAGCATCCAGAGCAGCGGCAACGGAGGTAGCAAATGGAAAGGAAAGGTAAAGGTTGCCGCTACAGCATGCGAGTGCTCGTGTATATGTACGTGATCTCAGACCGGATCGGACCGGTCATATGCCGCCTGCAGTTGAGTCATGATTCATGATTCCCTCTGTGGTGTCCAGGTCCGATTTTGGCAGCTCTTTTGCTTTGTTTGTGGTGGTCTGTGTCTTTGTTTGCCGCGGTTCGCTCTCGAAAGGAACCTTGAAATCCACGCTGTACGCTTGAAGAATCCCAGTGAAATAGAAAGTTTTACGTGAGCAGCCAGAAGAGCAAAACCACAACAAACTCCGTCTGTTTCTGTTTTCTTCGTGGGCGAGTTGTCGTTCGCTGGCTGTTGCTTCAGTTGTTTAGTTGTTTTCTGGGCTGTCATTAAATGACTCCATTTTTCAGCGGATCGCTGTGCCTTTCCTCCACTGAGCGAGTCGCCCACGCTGGCGCTTGTTTACATTTTCATCGGAGCCATTTTTCGGTTTTATCAACAGTGCTTTCTTTTCGACCCGGGCTCTGCTCTTCAGACTTTTTCAACACCCAGCGGAAGTTGCACTGGTAATTAGTTTTCATTTCTCTCCGTCTCCTTCGGCTAAATGACTCATGTGATTTTTCATAAGCCACTTTTTTCGGAGCTTGGTCTGTTGCGTAACGTTTTCTGAGCCGGCAAGAGAGTCGGGGAAAGGTGAAGGTGGATAAAGGTGAACAAGAAAAGGGAGTTGGCACATGTTGACAGAGAGAAGGAAAAGAAGAGTGTCCGAAATACGAAATCGAATGTTGCATAAGGCCTGATTTTTACGACTGTCGGTTTGCTAAAAGTGTTGCCTTTCAGGAAAGTAAAGTACGAGTATTATCCGAACAACTGCTAGACTCAAGACTGAATCGAAAATATTTTCCTGGTCTATGGTTTTCCTTTTCGGACTCACCTCAAAGCGTTTCCATTAATCACACGATTGCAATCGCGCGACTTGATTGATGTTTTTGCGTGCAGCGCTGTTGCACGTTATTTTCAATTAGATTTTGCACATAAATAACGCTAATAATGGAAAATTTCACCAGCTGGGCAAAGCCGAATAAGCTGCAAGAAAACGACAAGGCACACCAAATTGAAGATCTCGTCGACCCAAAACCAATTCCAGCTAGAGTTTCGGCAGCGACCGGACCGAGTTGCTCAGTTGCGGTTTTGCGGCTTGAAGGAATGCAAAGCTCTAAATTATCGAAAAGCTGAAATCGAGCGACAGGCGTTTTTCCCGCTCAGCTGCCGCCAGGAAAATTGGCACAAGTGCGCTCGAAATGGCACAACTAACAGTATCAAGTGCTGGAACGGGAACGGGAACCGGGAGTGGGCAGACCACTTGGTCTTGGACTTGGTCTTGGACTTCGCTTGGACTTGGACTTGGCCTGCAGCCGTTTAGCGGACGAGTGTAGGCCGACCGACAGGTTGCAGCGGACCACGTATCCGGTTGGGACTACCTGGCGGATACACGATGCGCAACCTAGCCCGTTCTCGCGGAGAAAAACGCAATTAATTCAGAGCACTCCTGGGCCAGAGTGGCTCTCTAATTGGGAGTGAAACGGCGGACAAATTATGAATTTGCAACCAATTTCACAGCAACCGTAAACAAAAGCCGCAGACAAAACTAACTGCCAGTGGAGGCAAAAAAGGTAGCGCGAAAAAAAGAAAGTTTTTTGAAGTTTTCGTTGCTGCCGCCTTGGGGTTCGGTTCGGTTGTACGAGTATTTCGCTTGTCTACACTCACAACTACCGACGCGGGTCGCACAAATATCATTTATTCGGTATTCGGTATACGTTTACGTATTCGCCGTTTGCTTCACTTCGAGAAAAACACTCATTTCTTTCTGCGGCTCTCTCACACGCATGCACAGCTCTTGGCTTTGGGCCCGCTTAAGTTATTCACTTTTCATAGACTCGCACGCACACACACGCACACGAAGCCCGATCGAATGGCTTCTTCACTTGGCTGGCCCACAATCCGCGCTCACCTACCAGGTAGACCGTCAACAGGTGCGCACCGTTCGAACGCTCGACTCAAACTGACTCTGGCGAAGCCCGAAGACTCCGCGGCGGTCCGAAGAAACCAGAAACCTGGGGAGCGATCGCTGGCTTCGCCGCTCTTCGGAAGAGTATTCGGCGATGGAAGATTCGCTAGCCAGTCTTCGAGTCGCTGTTTTGAAAAAGACGGCGAGTATTTTGCAAATAACTTAACTTTTTCTTTTGTTAATAAATGAAATAAAATATTTACATTTGAAACATTTTTATTACTGACAAATGACTTTAAATTAAGTGGCTTATTTATTCTCTGTCATGTCACAAAATAAATTAAATTATTATTAGTTTACGATTTAATTATTACAAAAATTTCTGTTTATGCTTTGGGTAAGAAATAGCAAAGGCTATTCATTTAAAGGATAGCGATTCCTGTGGGGACAATAATGTATGTCCAGCACCCATTAAAAATTAGCCTTGAATACCAGCAGTGACGAAGTGTAATTAAATATCTAATATCCCAAGTGCATCTCTACTTTTTATTTACTTTTTAATTATTGACATTTTCCAGTGGCGGTTCCGGAGACGATTCTTGGGGGGGGGGGGGGGTTTAAATTTAACTTATTCTTCGATTTGGGGTTCAAACTTATTATTGCGAGAGAAATACATACATACAAATTTTAAAACAAAAATTATCCATCCCAATTTTTAGGTAAATAAAGCGTTAATATTTGAAAAGTCAACCATAGCAAACAAGTAAAATTTTCAGGTTCTGTGGTTCCAAGGGGCGGGAAATTTCCCTAATTTACCCCCCCCGTGGATCCGCCACTGCATTTTCTAGATGGTTTACTAGAGTAACCAATGTTCCACATATGTGATTATGCCATTCTTGGCAGCATATTTTGCGAAGAGGTGAATTCAGTCCCGAGTGGCTTGGGCTTGTGGTGAGTTGGTGCCAACAGCAGCGGTCTCCTCGACGGAAACAATAACAGTTGAAAGTGACGATTTGGCTAACGTATGCTCCTTAGTTCAAACGCGAATCAGGACTGTCCCAGCAAGTCCTAAGTCGATCGGGCTGATTTTCCATTGCAATCAGCGGCAATTACTATGCAAATTGCCAAGCTGATTCTGCTGGTTTTGGCTTTCAATTGAAAATGAGAATGGCTCGGAAGAAAAGTGAGCTGCGCAACGGAAAAATGATGAAAGAGAATCGAATCGGATCGAGGCAGTCGGTCTGTTCGATCGGCTGCTCATCATGCCACAAAACCATGCCCCATGACCAGTGAAATTGTGTTTGGCGGGCTGTTTTCTTTTCTTTTATTTGATTTTATTTTCTTTCCTTCCTCTGCGTTTTCACACTTTTCACGAATCGACGTTTCCATTGTTGGGCAGCTTTGCTAATGGAATCAGCAAGCAGCCACCAGCCACCAGCCACCAGCGAACCATTAATTGAGCACGCTGGCGGCTTTAATAGTTCTTAAGCACCTGGGTATTAGTGTCAGAGTCGCAGTGAATCGGGCAGCGGTACTCCGCTTTAAATTTCACAATTAACTTTATTTATTCGATCATAAACATGTGCATTTACGGGTAAAAAGAACAGGACTACTTGGCTAGTATTTCGGCAGCTCCGAGTAGCGAGGGGGCGTGGACCACAGCACGCTGGAGTTGCGCTTCAGCTGGCTGGGATCGATGTTCGGGAAGATCTGCTTCAGGTCCGGCGTGGTGGGCGCCACCGAGAAGAAGCTGTCGATGATGTCCGTGGGGCAGTGGCTCTGCATGGCGATCGCCTCTCCTCTTACATGGCCTGTGGAGAGAATGGACAATTAGTAAATGATTTCACTAAGCGTTGAGGAGTTTAATTTGCCAGAACGAATATGAATCCTATAGTGGAATAAACTATCTAGTGCCTGGATCATATTTTACAATTTTTTAATCTTATTTGATAGTATAGTTAGGTATAGTTAGTTAGTTATAGTTAGTCAATAGTATATTTGTTTCATTCAACATTAAACTGTGATGAGACTTTCGAATTTTTCAAAATAACAAATTAAAAGCGAGTTGAAAATGGAATTAACCTTATCATTAATCATGGTACATTTAAAGTATAAGTTAAGTGGAATATTAACCTTAATCGAGGGATTGCCTACCGATTAACACTTATGACCGATTAATAATTCCCAATTGTAAATCTGTTGTATGGTATAGCAATCTACAATATAACTTCAATACGAGTAAAATCTTGATAAGATAATTTAACCGATTAAACTTCTTGGAAGTACTTGGTTCAAGGAACTGAGGACTTAAGTTAAATAAAGATAGCAAACTTACTTCGACTCCAGGTGGGTGCGGGTGGGCGCTTGTGAGTGACCTTGCCCTCGTCGTCGGTGGAGTCGTCCTCGTGCAGCATCTCCCAGGTGTACTTCGTCTTCGGGGGCGGAGGAAGCATCTTCTTGGGCTTGGCTCCGGTCAACTGCTGCAGCTTCTGCTGCTCCAGCTCCTTGGCCTTGGCCTTCTTGAGCGCCTCGGCCTCCTCCTGCTGTCGCATCTTGCGCTGCAGCTCCTCCAGTTCCTGCCGCTTGCGCTCCTCAATGCGCTTTCGTTCCTCCTGCTTCTTGGCGCGCTCCGCTGCCAACTTGGCCATTCGCTCGGCCCTCTCCCGCTCCTTCGCCTCGCGCTGCTGGGCAGCCTGCTGGTGCTTCTGCTCGCGCAGCTTTTTGCGCTCCTCGGCCAGGTTGTGCAATCCCTTGCGGAAGTCGTCGCCGCTGTTCTCGCGCGAGAGCGTCTTGGTGGACGTCGACTGGGTGGACTTCAGGTTCGTCCCTGTGGCTGTCTTCATCAGAGGGACGGCCTTCGATGCGCTCGCAGGTCCCTTCTTGGGCTGCGCCGAGCTCAACGGCAGCGTGCTGCACGTCTGTGTGGGCGTGTAGAAGCGACCCACCGTCGGAGCGGGCAGCTTTCCAATCTTGGGAGTGTTGTTGGATCCTGGCGTGCCCTGGTGAAGAGAATGGTAAGTTAATCAACGGGCTGTGTAATATCAAAACGAACAAGAAAGAAAGATTGCTTCGATAGGCGGTCGGACAGACTTTCATATCGAAATTGACTTAGAAGGTGATGCTGATCAAAAATAAGTACATGAGGTGGGAGTTGTTTCCCTTACTGCGTTGCAAATTAGAACACTTTCTGCGAGGGTACAAAAGCACTAACTTCAGCTTTCTAAAGTTAATAAAGGGATCAGAAATTTTGCAAAACTATAATTTTGTTCCGATACTAAAGGGGTCTTAAAAAAATTTTGAAGATGGATATTATCAGGTGGATATCTATGTTATGTTGTACCATATCAATGCAAATTGTGAAAATAGTAGACTTACCACCTCCTTGCCTCGCTTGGGACGCATGTTAGATTGCGCATTGGCCGCATTTTCAAAAGCCTCCACGCGCAGCTTCACGGGACTCTGCAGAAGGGGGCTGCAGAATAAACCAAGATACCAGAATAAACGTTGATAGCCATAAAATTGATTTTGCTACTTACTTGAAGAGCTCGTGGGTGCGAGTTGGTAGCTTTATCGACTTGATGCTGGAAAGCAGCTTCGACGCCGGCAACTTCTCCTCCACCGACTCGTCTTCCGTAAGGAGGCTGTCCTGCTTAGTAGGCAGCGCCTTCTTGTCGGTAGAGTGCACCTCGAAGGTGGCATCGCCAGCTGGCAACTTTGGACTGTCTTCCGACGTGGGCGCTGGACCAATGACCATGGTGGCATTGGAAATGGTCACCGTTTCGTTGGCTGCAGATGGTACAGCAGGCGCAGATGAAGTAACTGGTTCCTCTGCGACGGGCGGTCCTTCCAGAGCATCCTTGTAGATCGATTGCTCCCGATTTGGTCGCGACTCAGTGCTGCACTTGCGCGTGCGTGACGCCACAGGCGAGCCCTTGTCCAGGTCGCTAAATCGCTCCACCTTGATTGGTCGATGGTTTTCCACGTCCTTCTTCTTCTTGCGTCCCTTCTTGGTGACCTCCGTGGTGTTTGTCGTGTTGCTGGCCACTGTATCGTCCGGACGGGCAGCCTCCATCGTTGCGGAGGAGGCGGTGGTCACATTTGTTGTGGTGGTCACGTCAGCAGGAGGGACCAATCCTTCGTTGGTGAGTTTCTCGCGTTTGATCTTTACGCGCAGGGTCTTCGAGGAGTTGGCATCCTCGGAAACTCTTCCCGTGGGCTTTTGCTTATCCACTGCTTCTGCTGGGACTTCTGGCTCCGTCTGCGAATCCTGCTCCGGCTGCTCCTTATTTTGGACAGGCTGCCCGCTGGTGGCGCTGTTGAACTGCGAGACCCTCTGCTCGCTCTCCACCTTGATCTTGACGGTCTCCTCATGGCTGGGCCGCCGCATCTTCCGAATGAGCGAGGGCTCCTTAAGCAGTTTCTCCGACTTCAGCTTAGCGGCGCGCTGAGGCCTGCCCGAGTTGAGCGTAGTGTCCGCTGTGACGGGCACAGGCGGAGGCGGCATCAAGGAGGCTGTTGAGTTAAGCTCATCTTCGGCGATGGCCAGCAGCTGTGAATTGCTGACCCGAACGGTTTGGAACGTGGAGGAGTTGGCCGTTGTGTCCGGAGCAACTGAAAAGGATAGAATCCAGGTCTTACCCCAGCTCGGTAGATTTCATCAGCTGCATACTCACCCTCGTGTTCGTCATGATCCTCGGCCAAGGAGGTGAGTCGTTTGGGTCGCTTTTTCGTCTGCTGCGGGGTCACCGATGAGTTCTCCTGGCTTTTGGCCACCGGAGCAGTGTCTGCCGCCTTGGCCTCCGCCTCTGAATTCGCGGTGCCGTAGAAGAGGTGTTCCAGCTCCACGAAGTGGGCCTAAAAGAAATAAAAATAAGACGCCATGTTGAGTGAGGATAACTGCGGATCCTGATCCTCGACTCACTTTGCGCAGGGCCTCCAGCTCGAGCCGCAGCCCCGAAAGCGAGCCCAGCACGCCCAAGATGTCCTCCATAACTAGCGACTGTATCTGACAAATTGCAAACTCGATCCTCCGATTACTTCGTTTTTTTTCAAATGGCGGCAATTAAGACGCGCGTCGGTAGAGCTGCAAAAACATCTGTCTCAAGCAAAAGTATCGATATTTTAAATTTGCTTGACGGTTTTCCACCGCTCTGGGTGGGTGCCTGAGATAGTCGTGTTCTTCCAGCACGGGTTGGTGCCTCGGTTGACCTAGTCCTACACCGTCCTACACTTTAACAGGGCGTTTTGTAGGGTTGTTGATATTATATCAAAATATCAATATATCGATATTTTCTTTTTAAAATGATATATTTATATCGTAATTTTTTGTTTGCCTAAATATCGGAAAATCGATATATTTTTTTGATATTTTTTGATATTTTTGTCTCGGTTACTTTGTATTCCAAAGCGACTTCAAGTGAACGAATTCAAGCGCAAAATAATATTTTCGCAAAATGCGCGCAAAAGAAGGAATATACATATGTGCTATGTGTGCGTATGGCCAGATTTCGTTGTCTATGTGTGCATATGTAACTTACGCACATACCACCGAAATTTGGCGCCAAACGCGCACACCCACGTTGTTCACAGATATATTAATTAGTTTTCATTCTTAGCTGTCCACGAACTTTGAAGGTATTATGACAATAACGGAGACTTTCAAGAATGCTGAAGTAAGGATTGTTAATAACAAAAAAACGGTGCAAAATTTTCACTTTCCGCCAACGGATTTCGAAGTCCGGACCGCACTTGTAAACAATTACCGAAACTTATTGTCTTTTTATTGTGGGCAGGAAATTTTTTTATTTAACACAAAAAATATCAAAAATATCAATATATCGATATTTTTCGGTGATATTTAGAAATATTATTATCATATTATTTGATAAAAAAAATATCATCGATACGATATTTTTAAAATTTTCGACAACCCTAGCGTTTTGTGCTGTAAGGCGCGATACTGTCTCCGCTTTACAGCACTGCACAGGCGGAAAATTTCCCGCGCAAAATAAAAAACAAAACCAAGAGTGTTGTATAATAGACATGCTTTCAAAGAGTTCTTTGTATAATTTAAAGTAACAATCAATAGCTAGTTTTACCTTTTTAAAGCATGCGTTTTTGAATATGCAAACTGAAGAATAAATATTTAGTTGAATCGGTTCCCTCTGGTCTCACCCAGTACCATCCCTAGCAAGCAGTGCTGTATAGCAATTGAAAGCATGCATTTTAAGTCATTAAAAAAAAAGGGAATAATAAACATAGCACGAAAATTATTTCAATCTTTTGCAAAGCGTTAAAGTACATTATGTGCTGTCAACAAACTATTTAAGTAAAACTAGTTTCCCGGCTCCATTAGTGTTGCAAAGCCTACACCGCCGATAGTATCGCCATGGCGAGCTGACCCAACCGACCATCGCTAGCACATTTGTTAAAAAATTTGCAACAAGCCAACGAAAATCGACCAGGAACGGTGGACAGAGAAAACCGCGCGCTCTGCGACGACCACCGTGGGATGCTCATACGTATGCGCAGCCGTGCCGCGGAGTAGACACAGTGCCCGCGACCCGCAATCCGCGAACCGCCAATCCCCGAGAAGCCAGCTGCAGCAGATCCCGCCGATCGCGCCGCAGACCGAGATCATGGGCCTCGACTTCGATGCGGTCGAGTACTGCAAGGGCGTGAAGAGCCAGCAGGCGCAGCCGCCGTTCGGCTGTCCCGTCCGCGGCTGTGACCGCAGCTACAAGACCATAATGGGCCTGCAGTACCATCTGATGAAGTACGACCACGACAACCCCCAGCCGCTGACGCCAGTGCTGACTCCCAACCGCAAGAAGGCGCGTTCCCGCTCCGGCGGCCACCACTCGACCCCGCGTCCGCCCAAGGACCATCCTGCAACCGGTGGCCTGGGCTCGGAGGCCAGAAACGGCTGCTCCTCGCTCGTCACGGGCGGCGGGGCAGCGGCCGGAGGTGGCCCCACTCGGCAGTATGCCAGCCCCGAGTCCCTGGTGGCCTACAACGAGGAGGAGGCCACGGTTACGTTCAACCTGGACGGAAAAAGTGTGCGCCTGGGCATCGATGATGCGCTTCCGCTCGTGGAGGATGAGGAGTTCGCCGCCCTGGTGGCCAGGGGCTGCATTCTCAACGCCGACGCTCCGCCTCTGGAGGAGAACGCGCCCTGGGCGCGGGTCCAGGTGCCAGTGGCCAGGGTGGCTGAGATCCCCGACTACCGAGTGCCTGACGCCCCGCCGAGGCCGCTGGCTTACTACCGCTTTATCGAGAAGTCGACGGACGAGCTGGACGGCGAGGTGGAGTACGACGTGGACGAAGAAGATTCCGCCTGGCTGGAGCACATGAACGAGGAGCGCCAGCGGCTCGGCCTGAATGCCGTGGGCATCGACACAATGGAACTGCTGATGGACCGCCTGGAGAAGGAGTCGCACTTCCAGGCGGCGGCCAACGGCACGCCCACGGGCGTCGAGGTCGACGACGACGCAGTCTGCTGCATTTGCCTAGACGGCGAGTGCCAGAACTCCAACGTGATACTTTTCTGCGACATGTGCAACCTGGCGGTGCACCAGGACTGCTACGGGGTGCCCTACATCCCGGAGGGCCAGTGGCTCTGCCGGCGATGCCTGCAGTCTCCCAGTAAGCCCGTCAACTGTGTGCTCTGTCCCAACGCAGGAGGCGCCTTCAAGCAAACGGACCACGGCCAGTGGGCGCACGTGGTCTGTGCGCTGTGGATACCGGAAGTTCGGTTTGCCAACACCGTATTTCTGGAGCCCATAGGTGCGTACTTCTATCTATTGTTAATACAGTTTATTATATACAGTTAAACCGTGAAATTCTCTTACAGATTCAATCGAAACCATTCCCCCTGCTCGCTGGCGACTCACCTGCTACGTGTGCAAGGAGAAGGGCCTTGGTGCCTGCATCCAGTGCCATCGGCACAGCTGCTACGCCGCCTTCCACGTCACCTGCGCCCAACAGGCGGGCCTCTACATGACCATGGACACGGTAAAGGACGGCCACAACGATTCGTCCATGCACGTCCAGAAGTTCGCCTACTGCCACTCCCACACGCCGGCGGACGCCAAGCTCAAGATGAACGTGCCCGACTTCGAGGACACGCGCCACAAGATGCGGGAGGCGCGCAAGGCCCTGGCCAAGAAGCGCTCCACTGCGCCCGTGGTGCTGATCCCGACGATTCCGCCGGACCGCGTTCAGGAGATCGCCACCATGGTGACCATGCAGCGCAAGAAGGAGTTCCTCGACCGCATCATCGCCTATTGGACGCTCAAGCGGCACTATCGCAACGGGTGCCGCTGCTGCGACGACTCCAGAGCCAAGGCAACAATCACGGCGTGATCCAGCGGAACGGCATCGAAGGATCGCCGGACACGGGCGAGCTGTACCGGCAGCTCAAGTACTGGCAGTGCCTGCGACAGGACTTGGAGCGGGCGCGCCTGCTGTGCGAACTGGTCCGCAAGCGCGAGAAGCTGAAGGTGGCCTTCGTTCGCATATCCGAGGAGGTGGTTATGCTGCAACTCAACCCGCTGGAGGCTGCTTTGAACAAGCTGCTGGATGCGCTGGAAGCGCGCGACAGCATGGAGATCTTCCGCGAGCCGGTGGACACCAGCGCGGTCCCCGACTACACGGACATTGTGAAGCAGCCCATGGATCTGGGGACCATGCGGACGAAGCTAAAGGAGTGCCAGTACACCTCGTTGGAGCAGCTAGAAGCTGACTTCGATCTGATGATTCAGAACTGCCTGGCGTACAACAACAAGGACACGGTGTTTTACCGCGCGGGAATTCGCATGCGCGACCAGGCAGCACCTCTCTTCGTCCAACTTCGAAAGGAGCTGCAGCGGGACGGGTTGCTGGAGCGATCGCAGCGTTCCCACGTCGACCACGTGGAGGCGGAGGTGGAGCAGGAGCTACGCCTGCTGCTGGCGGCACCGGCCAGCGAAGGCATCGTCCAGAAGCTGCTTATTCTTGCCGACAAGTCCCAGGTTCTGAAGAACCCCAGCTACCGGACCAAGAAAATCAAGCAGATTCGGCTGGAGATCACGCGGATGCGCAAAAGCCTTCAGAAGGCGAGGTTTGCGGCGGTGAGTGTTGAATTTATCGGCTTCAAATGTCAAATCTAATTTGTGACTTTCCCCAGCGCTACTCATCTCACGCCCAATCCCAAAGCGATGAGGAAGATGCTGTTGGAGCCTCGCCTTCGAAAAAACGCACGCGAAAACGGTTGAATAGCAGTGTCGTCGACATGGAGCTGGCACACGACGAGGATGATGAAGATGAGGACTCTGATGATGATTCGATGGGTGAGGGCGACGATAATGTATCGAAGGACTTGCTTAACTCCACGCAAACGCCGCCCTGCAGTCCAATCAAGAGTCTCAACAACAGTAGCTCACCCGTGGGAATCAATCGGAGGTAAGTCAAGTTACCTATACATTTTTACTAGTAATAGGAAGAGAGATTCCTCTGGCCAAAAAAAGCTTATAAAAGCCATTTACTCATATAAAATTAAACGGTCACCACTTGTCCTCATTTAAATTTTGATAGAGTTTTAATGATTTGTATTTAAGTGCTGTTTTATCAACAAAAGAGTTCAACTTTGAGGATATTATTTTGTTACAGGATATTCGTTAATTTCACACATTTCCTTTAAGCTGCATAAAGAAAGAAGTCTATATATAATTAACTAATACTGTTTTGCTCCAAATTATAAAGATTATTCTAACATAACCAAACAACTAAGACTGTGTCAGGCTTGTATTCATCAGTACCATTAGTATAAGTTAATAACACATTAATTCTCTATTAATTCCCTCAGAACGGCCATATTGCTGACGCGCAAGGCGCAAGCTGCTCTGAAGAGACCCTCGGAGCCCTTAACGACGCCTGTGAAGGAGGAACACCACAACTCGCAGTCCTCGAACACCCAGTCCACCAGTGGCAGCTCGTCCTCCGCCACGACGGCGGCCACAGCAGCGTCCAGTGGAACGGGCAACCTGAACCACGTCCTGGCCAGCGCTCCGCCCACGGTTTCCAGCTTTGCGTTGACGCAAAACAGCAACAGTGCTGGCGGAGGAGCCCTTGCATCGGGAGCCGGAGGTGGTGGGACGTCGTCAGCCGGGGTTGTCACATCCGCTGGCCTAACCTCTTCGACGCTCGCCATGAACAGCAAGCTGAACGCGAGTCTGCCCGTCAAGTCGCCAAAGAGGCCGGGTCGTTATCGCCGACTGCCGGAGGTGAGGCACAGCGCCTCGATGTCACCAAAGAAGTCGCCCAATCCGGCGGTGGCCGTCAGTCAAGCGCTGCCTATGCCCGATCCCCTGCCCTTCGAGCGAATACCGGACAGCTTCCGGGTGTACAGGGCCAACAATCAGCGCGACGTGAGCGACAGCGACGACGCGCCCTCGCAGTCGAGCAGTCCGTGCAGCAGCTGCTCCGACTTCAGCATGTCGGGCAGCTGCTCCGACTTCGACAGCGACGAGGCGAGCGAAGGCGATGCGGACGGAGACGGCGGCAGGAGGAGCAGCGAGGAGCGGGACTCGACGTCGCAGGACGGAACCACGGACGCCATGGACCTGCAGCACGCGAGCCTTAACCACGGCCAGGGAAACAACGGCAACATGGCCATCAGCAGTAGCAGCGGAGGGAGTGGCGGCAGCTCCAGCGAGGAGGACGAGGATGAGGAGCGGCCCTTGAGCGTGCGGCAGAACAAGACGCTGAAAGTGGGCACGCGCAGCACCCCAACTCCGACGACAATTGCAAGAACAGCCGCCTTGACGGCGTCACGGGGTCGCGGAAAGCGACGCAGCAATCTCAGCGAGTCCACCAGCTCAACAGCCACGCCCCCACCGCTGCTGCGAAGGGCGGGCAAGCTGCGGTCAGCGACGCCGAACGCATCTCCGCTGGTGAACAGCATCAAAGCGCGGCGGAACACCACGGCAGCTGGGAGCACCATCGCCACGAATAACAACCGCAGCAAGCACGTCGAGGACTCCGCCTCCGCGGAGAGGCACAATCACCACGGCCACGGCCAGAAGCCCACGCTGGAGCCGCTGCAGCTGGTGTGGGCCAAGTGCCGCGGGTATCCTTGGTACCCCGCACTCATTCTCGACCCCAAGACGCCGAAGGGATTTGTGTACAACGGGGTGCCGCTGCCCGCTCCGCCCACCGACGTCCTGGCGCTGCGCAAGAACTGCCTGGACGAGATCGTGTTCCTGGTGCTCTTTTTCGACGTGAAGCGCACCTGGCAGTGGCTGCCGGCCAACAAGCTGGACATCCTCGGGATCGACAAGCAGCTGGACCAGCAGAAGCTGGTGGAGTCGCGCAAGCCGGCGGAGCGGAAGGCTGTGAAGAAGGCGTACCAGGACGCGCTGCACTACCAGAGCCAGGTATCCGACTTGGAGGGCCAAGGACCCGATCCGATCATGTGAAAGCTGATGGCTCGACTGCATCTTTAGGCGCCGCTCGAAAGGCTTTAGCCATTTAGTTAGCTCCCGACAAAAAGGGATCGCTCGTATTTTTATATCTCGTTTGTTGTTACTCGATACTCGAAGATGACGATGTTGAAGAAGGCCCTCCATTAGAGTATTTCGATGGCGAATTTCCAATTTGCACTGCAAGTGTCTTTGATTTTCGTTTGTTGCCAAGTCACCAGGGATCGTTTGCCCCTAAACCATTGTGTACAGTTTTTGTAATACGCGCAGTTAGCGAATTCGTTGGAGGAGGATCCTATTTTTGTACATTATTTGGCTTTTGTGACCACGATTATGAAATGTTAAGTAGATCCCGAAATCGGTTCGAATCACAACAACATGGAATTTATAACCTCAAGTCGATTCACGCGAAATCAAATCAATGTTTAAGTTAAATAGTTTTAAGCTCTCCTACAGTTAAGCCCAAAACAACAACAATAAAAACTAAAAACCACAAAAACAAAGCAAGCGACGCCTCAAGTTAAAAAACGTGTAAAAACTAAAACCGCTGTTTAGAGGATTAAATGATAATGAACATTTACAAATAGCATTACAAATTGTATAGATGTGTGTGTGCGCTTGAGTCTCTACATAAATCGATTTATCTCTATATGCATATAGTGTACGTCTTGATTTCCATATGAACAAAAATATATTTGATTATTATGATGTATTAGAGGATGAAGATTATTATTATTATAATTACTGTGTGTAATTAATGCAAAAATTTCTTATGCCTAAGTGGAAAGCGTAGACAATTAAGTATTGAAGTAGTTGGCTCCCAATCCCCAACGGATCCCCTGACACCCATATCCCCACCCCAAGTTCAATCCGACACCACCACCTTTGCCCTTAACAAGATTGAATATTGTTTAAATCTAATGGTAAATTAAAAACAGAAAAATAAATGTTTTAAACAAAGCCTTTGCATATTTGATGTACTTTCACGGTTTGATGGAAACTGGTGCAAATCTCGGACTCAAATCCACTGGCCCACAGTTTGAGCAGCCTCGTTTCGCAATTGTCGCCAAAAGTGCGTCAGTGAGGTTCGACAGGAATTGACTTATATTTACTTTGATTATCCCCAGGTCGTTCACCGGGTTTTGAGGGGCTGCTGTTGACAGTGTCATATTCACCCCACATCAATTATCGCCCCGGCAGATGTGTTGTTTTACAGTTTCGGAGGTACAGTTTTAGCCCCGGCTCATGGCACGTGATTCACTTGCACTGGCCAATTGGCTTTCGGTTTCATCAGCACGGATTTCAAAACATTTTCAAAATTGATGGAGAGATTAACCATTTACTTCTTTCTCTTGCATTCTTCTTAACGGCCACCTGTTTCAAGACGAACGGCGGTTAAATGCTATGTGCATCAGTCGTATTCTTAACTAATTATTCTGGACCAAAAACTTTTTAATTTAAGCTAAAGCTTCAAATAAATTGTTTACGTACAAAATATTTGTATGTCCCATTTTTTTTGTGATTAACAACTTATTTAAGATTCAGTGTGGGCATTTCTTACCGTTAACTATGAAGATATAGAACGCTAAAAAAAATATTTTCTGAGTAGGCAAGAACTAGACACCTCTTTTTTCGATATCTTCTTATTCTTCTCAAATTGTACTCAAAGTTTATGTTGCGCGGTAAGTAATGTAAGTTGGAAATACTCAACTCACGGTCCAAAAACATGATTAGGCCAATTAATTTGAGAAGCATTAAACCATAAGATTGAACGAACCGATTTAAGAGGCGGTCAAAGCAAAACATAAACAAAGTGTCTTTCTCGTGAAAAATTAAGTTGTTTGCGTGACAATTGCAACGCATAACAAAAATAAATCTTGAAATATTTTCTACGCATTTTTCACGTGCTTAGACTTTAGACTTGATAAACAGCGGCAATTGTGTTTGGGCCTGAATACACAATTCCACAGCTAAGCCCGGCTTAAAGCCGTCCGACGGCAAACATATGTAGCTACTGTTCATTGCCGGCAATCGGGGAGCTATTAAACAACTCAATTTCAATTTAACTGTAGATGATAGAACGCCCAAAATCGCCAGCAGCTGGCCTTAATTATTAATGCAAATTTATTTACGCCTCTCGATTGAAGTGTAGTTGTTGTTGCTCTCGTGATTACCCGGTTTCGCGACGAGTGACCACCACTTTGGTCAGTGCAACTCGGCCAAGTGCCAGGTTGTAGGTCATTGCGTTGGCGCTCCAATTGATGTTTTCATTACGCGCATAATTACTATCTATTTTGCCCCTTCAAACGGAACTGACTGCGCGGGAAGTTCCCAAAAACTCGTTTCTTTATCTGGGGCCATGTGACGTCAAAGCCGGTGCTCCGAATCGGTCGCAAGAGTGTAAAAAAAGAATATCGAGGTTTGAAAATAAATGGCCTTGATGTTGGTTCCACAACGATCACAGCATCAAATTATGAGGAAAAACTTTCAGTAAAGTTCAAGCTCCTGCTCCAAATTAGACATTTTGATTGGGGTTCTTGTAGTTTTGTGCGGCTTGCTGCAGCTGAAAAATGTTTTTGGTTGCAAATAACACATTTTTGTGACGCCCAATCAACGCAAGTGAAAAAATATTTAAACAAATTATGTGTTGTTAATTGTGGGGAATAACTTTGCCAAAAATGTAAGCCCCTGCCCCAGTTCGTTCTCCGTAAGCTGCTCGGCAATTTTGATCGGGGATTTATTTGCTTCTATTTTACTTTACCTTTTGTAAGCCATCAAAATATTTGCTTGGCGAGAAAAATATTTTTTCTGACGTCGGTAACTGATTAAAAGAAGCATTCGAAAGGCAAAACGTAGTTCCTTCAGTTCGCAAATCGTCGATTGGACTGCTATTGAGTTTTCGCCTTTAAATTAATTTAAATTCGCAGGCAGCTAAAATGACGTCTTGGGTTATTTGCTCGCCGCTACTCGCACGTGATTTACCCAGCGTGCACCGAATAACTCGTAAAAGAGGCTCCGCAGAGCTTGATATCATTGGAGTTTGGAATTTTCGGCGGATCTGCGGTTCAAGTGCGTTTGTTGGCCATAAACTTTTGCCTCGCTTTTCGTTACCAAGCAGCTGTGTTTGGGCTCGTGGAATTTATTGACTCACTAAAGATCCGGCGACAGCTGATCCGGAAAAGCAGTCAGAATAGTGCTACACGCAGGCTGTTACACTGGAAAGTGTATCAATTTTATATTTGATGTACGGACGCTAAAACATAATTAAATTATATTTGACTGCACCAAAAGATGTTTACAAATAAAGAAAATTAAAGGAACATTAAGCAATTGATTTTATTGATACAAGTGTTAGAAGCATACAATTTTGTTCTCTGTGCACCTTCAGTGGCGTGACAAGATGGCACACCATGTTCAGACATCTTAATGAACCACCGGGACGCGCTAATCAGCGAGCAGTTAACACCTGATGAATGCAGCGTTCGCAGATTGCGTATCCGCCACCGATTCGCGTTTGGCGGAGTTTCGCATGCAAATCGCTCTTTGCGGCAGATAAGATAAGCAACAACGTGGCTAGCCAGCAAAAAGCACTTTGCGCTGCTTTAATTAGCGCGGACGTGCCTCCGTTTCCATTCATTGATATCGGAACGAGCGGACAACAAAATCATTAAAGAATCAATTGTTCCTGACGCACGCGCCCCGATCTTCACTGCCGAAAAAAGAAATGTTCGAACGGTGCTTTGGTCGTCTGGTGATCAGGGGCATTATCGTCTTAGAAGCTTCACGATCGCATCTCCATACATCTACGTCACATGGGCAACGTGACTGTGGTCAGTTCAAGAAAGAAATCTATACTAGATGTCTCCGCTTCGCATGGCAACAAGATGCCAATCAGCACATATGCCAGCACAAATGTTATGAAATCTTTTAGCTCGGGAAAGTTGAGGCCCCTTTTCGCCAAGTCTTACGTGTGACTTCGGAGGTATGTCCATTACCTCAGAGTGCGAAATTTGAAAACCTCTAAAGCTGCCAAGGTGAATTTTTTTGTGAAAATCCAGTCAATACGCTCAGCAAATGGAGCGGGCAATTGGGCCAGCATGTGATCAATGAATGACTCTCTTCTGACTGGAAATTGCCATCACGATGAAAATAATCAGCACTCGCAAGATAAGCTGCTTTTCTGATGAGATAGCTGTGACCAGACCACCAAATTTTCAGTGTTCTCTTTGAATGTGATCTCTTTTCATCGTCATTCACCTTGCAGAAAGGTTGTGCAAAATAAAATGCTAACTAACATATTAAAAGAGGCATCTTAATCTGAATTATGATTAAAATAAAAAACCTTGGAGGGGCAGGCATATCCAAGGAATTATGTTGCGAAATTCAATCTTAAACTTAGTCTCACGAAAGTTCCCCACAAAAGTGCTTAACTGGTTATACATCGAAGCAGAGATGTCTCCGAATTGTTTGAACTGGTCGAGGCTTAATGATTCAACACCAGATGTGTGTCCCCTGAAATCAGACACCCATTTATATATTAATTCCGCCAGGAGATATATTTAATCTCCCACCTCTTTCTACTTGCAATCACGCCTCTTTTCGGCTTATATGTTATATTTGTCCGCGAATTGATTTAAATAAAAAGCTGATCCCTGATTCGATACTGGAGATTCCTTCAGTCGAAAAACCACAAAAATGCTGCATATAATGCCGGCGCGGAGTGATATAATTTGCCTGATTGACATTGTTTAACCTTAATGCACATTTGCCTCCGTCCAGCGCTTGGATTGGCCATATAACGGCGCCGACTGGAATTAACTTGAATTTATTGAGTGGCGGCTGGATCGCCAAACCGGTTGAAGGAAGCAGCTGAAGAAGGGGATCTTAGCCGTATCGAGTGACTGAGTCGGGGCCTGGTTCCGTCCTGTCCCGATCCCTTCCTCGCGGTCTCCCCTCGTGAGTTGCAGGCGCGACCAGACGGCGACTGTACAAAAATGCCCACTACTAAATATAAATTAACTCCTGCTGGCCATATTTGGTAGCCTGCCAGCCGAATCAGGAAGGGGAAGGGGCGATTTGGCCTGCAAAGTGCGATCATTGAGCCGCTTGACAAATTTAAATAATTGTCCCGCGCATAGAGCGTGTCATTGATGAATCGATAGTCGATGGGCTCCAGAGTCCCTTCACTCGATCGGGCCGGGCCAAGGGCCATAAATTCCCAGTGAACAGGCTAAAAATAAAGCCGGGCCTGACCTTGAAGCATAACGGAAGAAGCCAAGCGAAGGCTGGTCCTGTTTTCCTGGGCCGAGGCGGCGGGGCTTCGGAGGGGAGGGCCAGAAGTCTGTGGCCAATTAAGTTCGAGATAAAGAACCCCGGCGACCTAGGGCAACAGAATATTTATTGACACATCCTGCAGGGCCGGCGGTTCGCTCAAGGACACCCAGAAACTGCTTCCACTTGCGGTTCTTTTCCACTCGCCGAGATGCGGGTATAAAAGCCCTCGGCCGAGACTCCCAATCGCAACAGTCTTCCAGCAGCAGTAGTCGAAGTTGTAGTGAAGTTTTGGAGCACCGAGCCCCAGAAGTCCTGCAAGTCGCTACCCGAAAGTTGAACCCACTCGAAGATAAATCAAACCCCCACAAGATGCGGCTTTTCCTGATCGGCCTGCTGGCAATCGGCTCGGCGAGGGCCTTCTCCGTGATCCGGACGCAGCCGAATCCCCAGCTGGTGGCCTTCTCCCCGGCCAGAGGCGAGTTCCCCGTGGTGAGTGGCCCGGCCCAGGGCTACGTTCGCTACTACGACGGCACGGGAGCAGAGCGCCTGCTGCCCTACACCTTCCCGGAACCGCTGAACGGCATCCGGGACCTGGCCACCTCTAGTCTAATCCGCTCCGGCCTGGAGCAGGAGAACCAGCAGACCGCCCTCTTCCGCGCCTGGTGCGAGCAGCGCTACCAGGCCATGCGCCTGGAGCTGGAGCGCCTGAAGGCCCAGGGCCTCAAGCCCTCGGCCAGCATGCTGGCCCAGTTCGAGCCCCTCGAGAAGATCGTCAAGTTCTCCGCCTTCGAAGCTGTCCCCGGACTTTCTCCGGAGGTCCAGAGGGCCCGCGACGAGCAGCTCCGCATCTGGAACGAGGCCAGGCTGGAGGTGCTCCGCGCCGAGCAGAAGCAGCAGCTGCTTGGCCAGTTCTTAGAGTATCAGTTTAAGAAGGAGAAGATCCCTGTGATTTACGGCCAGCAGCAGGAGCAGCAGCTGCTGATCAAGACCTCGACGCCCCAGTTCGTCAAGCCCATCGAAACCCCGCAGACCCATTCCTACGGGCAGTTTGCCGGCACTCAGGATAACCTTCTCCTTAAAACCTCACAGCAGATTGCTCCTCAACCAGTTGAGGAGACTCCCGAGGTGAAGCTGGCCCGCCAGGAGCACCTCAAGCAGTTCAACGAGGCTCTGCTCCGCCAGCCTGCCCAGGAAACTGCCCAGGTAATCCTCAAGACCACTCCCGGAATTCAACAGCCAATTGCCAACCAGCCTCAGCCGATTGTCAAGGCCACCACGACCGCTTTTGGTAACCTGCCGATCCAGCAGCCAGAAGGCATCTTCACCAAAGGAAGCTTCCAGACTCAGCAGAATACCCAAACCATTGAGGAAACCCCAGAGGTTAAGAGAGCGCGCGAGGAGCACCTCAAGCTGTTCAACGAGGCCCTGCTCCGTCAGCCCGCCAAGCCCGAGGAACCCATTCTGAAGACCACTCCCATCCAGCCCACCAAAGCGCAGGCCATCATCTTCCCGGAACCGAAGGCTCCCCAGCCCATTGAAGAAACCCCGGAGGTGAAGCGCGCTCGGGAGGAGCACCTCAAGCAGTTCAATGAGGCCATCCTGCGACAGCCCATCGAAGTCCAACAGCAGCCACTGATTCCCACCGCACCCATTGCTCCATTCGCTCCCCAGGCGATTTTGAAGAGCCCGATTGCCGAGTTCCAGGGTCCCCAGCCCATCCAGGACACACCCGAAGTGAAGTTGGCACGCGAACAACACCTGCTGCTCCTCAGCCAGGCCAAGTTGCAGGCGGAGGACAAGGTGGCCGACATCGCGGACATGATTCGCCTGGAGGAGCGCGAGCGGGAGAAGGAGCGACTGCAGGACTTGGAGCTGCGCAGGCAGGAGGAGAAGGAGGCCGAGATCGAGCGCCAGCGGGAGGCAGACCGCCTGCGCGAGGAGACCCGCCTCCTGGAGGCGGAGCGCCTCAAGATCGAGCAGGAGGACCGCCTGCGCCTGGAGAGCGAGAGGCTGGAGCAGCTCCAGCTGAGGACCTCCGCCTTCGAGAAGGACACCCCCGAGTACCTGCGCAAGGCCGACCAGTTCAAGATCATCGCCAACCAGGTGCAGCCGCAGCAGCAGCAGCAGCAGCCCAGCATTGTGACCCAGCAGCAGCAGGTGCAGAATGGATTCTTCCTGCGCATCCAGACCAACCAGCCGTCGGGTGAACCTGCATCCACTCCTGGCCAGGTGCTCCCCGAGCAGGGCGGCAATCCCTTCCTGGTGCGCTACACCACCAGGCCTGCGGAACTCCCGGCCATTCCCCTGCAGACCATTCTGCCTGCCCCGCTGCCCCTGCCTCTATCCACCCCCATTCCCGCCGATCTGAAGCAGAAGACCGAGTACGCATCCTCCGGCGAACTGGAGAAGGCCACTCGGGAGCACTTCCGGGCCCACGAGATCGCCCTGGAGCAGCTGCGCCTGGCCAACCTGAAGAACCCCTGGACCCCCGAGTGCCAGCACTAGGAACCCAGTGCATCTCCCGTTCGAATCACTTGCATTGCCCTAGGTTAGATCACCACATCACCGTAACACCCATTACACTCATAACACCCACAGCACAACACCCATACGCATACTCGTACACCTGTGTAGCTTAAGCGATTCGCTCCGAGTCCCGATTCAAAATGCATTCAGTTGAGAAACAACGCAAAAAAGAACAAAACCCAAGAATGGTAAGGGGGCATTCAGCTGGATGTGGGATGTGGGGTGTGGGGTGTGGGATGTGGGGTGTGGGGTATTGGGAGTGTTGGGTGGGTGGGTAAGGTGGCCAGGGGACGGAACAAAGGAAATGGCTTTCGCGACTTTACTGTTATAGAACGTTTCCATGCTAATTTCGAGTCGCCAGATTGTCGGATCGATCAGAATGCGCATAAAATGCTAAACTGCGCCGCAAACTGGCACAGATGAAGATGTTATCTGATCCGCTCGAAATCGGTTCTGATCGATTCAGTTCCTAGCACTTGACGCATAAATAACAAGTTGCTGCTCTATGCACCGCAGCCAGAGGATACCCTTTGCGAAAGGCGGGAAGTGCAGCGGTTTCGAGTTTCGAGTTTCGAGTGCAGTTATACAATAAGTATCGGATTTGGGTAAAGGTAATGCCCACGCCAATTAGAAATTTTAATGCTGCAAGGCGCAGCGTGGATTTGCACTAGATCGCCAGGAAAGTGCAGCCATCAAAAAACAGCACTTACAGCTGCCCGATCTGCATAACAAATTTGGTAACTCCACTCCGAATGGTGTCACACTTCTAGCTGTTTATACAAACTCCGCTATTGACCCTGATCAGGTATATGATATGTACATATGCGCCTGCTTTAGGCCCGTTACACAAATCTCCATAAATCCGATATAGCCTTGCGTCCGTGGAGTAGCGGCTTATGAAAATGCTCTAGAAATGTATTCAGAACGCCGTCCACTTAGCGTCCACAAGCTCCGCACTGACCTATCGCAAGTCGAACGGGCTGTTAATCGCCGCCGGACTTGATGAAATTACCGTTGGCAGAATGCCCACCCCCCTTCTTACCCCACCTGATAAGATTTCTAAGCGATTACGTGGCGTATGAGTAACGGGAGCGTGGCGCGGCGAAAGTGACTAACGTGAAACCGAAGATGTTCTATGAACGGCCTTGTATGGATGGCATCTGATATCTGGTTTGCAGGTGGCGGATGCAGAGACACTTGATAAGACGTTTACCGAAGATTTTCTATATTTGCAGAATGTGCTGTCTCCGCAGTCCAAAGTCTAGTCGGTATGAATCACAGTTGGGGGGCGGAACATTAGCTGATTCTGATTCCGGAATGGCTCACATGATTGTTTGCTGGCGGGGTCCAAAGTCCGGAGGGGAGTTCGTTTCAGCCATCCACCCCTTCTTTTTTCGGCTTATCTAATGCCAATCGAATCGGACGATCTGATTGAGCCATATCGACATGATATGGCTGATGCAACTTTCGGCTTTAGCGCGGCTAGACATTTCAAAGCGTCGGGGTTACGGTCCGGTCGCTGATAAACCGCCTATTTGGCCTTGTTCCACTGGATTTGGGCCACTCCACGGCGAATCGAAATCGAACCTGGCAAAGTGCGCAGTTTTTGCGGCCCTGCCATGTGCGAATTATGCCAGCGTATTTATAGAAACCACAAAGCAAGTCCGAGTTTGTGTTTACATTTTGCAGCAGGCGGCGGCCCACAATGGAACAATATACGGGGAAGTGATTGGACTGGCCAAAACACCTTTCGAACCGAATTCCCCGAATCGGGAAACATTTCAAATATTTGCAATTCGCAGCGAATTGTAATGGGAACTACAGCGAGAAAAGATTCTTTATATTAATGGGTTGAATAAATAAATACATTTCTAGGGGATTCCTGATGGTAAAATGATTTCAATTTGCTTTGTAATCGGTGATGAACTACTTCGGGGATTATCCATTTGGTTCATCTGACTTGTATTGAAATAGTATACGAAATTCAGTGTGTTTGAATTTTCATTTTCAACAAATTAACACGTTTTGCTATTTTACCTTATAAGTTGACCTGATCTATTATTGCATATGCAAATATAAAAAGAAAATTTTTAGCAAATGGCCTTATTTGAAGTTCTTCTAAAACAATCACCCAAATCGCTCAACCAATTATTTAATTTCAATACCGAAAGCCAATATTTTCACCTTCTAAATATCCATTAAGTATCCATCACTTGAACTGAATAAAATGTTTAATTTCACAAGAAATCTCAATCAAAATTGCAAGTGCTCGACACCATAAATATTTAACTCCCCCTTTTCGGACGTTACCTTGACCATAAAAGGAAATGTCAGTCCGGTAGTTCCCCCAATCAAACCGTCAAGTGAAGAGCAAACAACGGCACTTTCAGTCGCAGTCCCCGTTGCTTAAATTTTGTTTTCCTTGGAAGTACTGATAACAAAAGAATAAAAAGCCCAGATAAACAAAGGAAACTGAAAACTGAAAACAAACAATACTGCTGATACAAATTTTCCAACAATAATTTGCCTTAATGCTTATGCAGAATATGTGTTATTGTTGTCGCTGCTATTTTTAGCAAAGGCGACAAGTTATTTTTACCGCTCCAGGTTATTTTTGGGCTGAAATTAGTGCGCCGCGAACGATAATGACAAAGACAGACTCGTGATTGGGCCATCACTCAAAGCGACGTGTTGTCAACCAATTTCGCTTAGAAGCGTTTGCTTTAAGCCATGCAAATACAGCTAGTACAACCAATTAGTGATAACGCTAAGATAAGCCGCACTCATCGACGAGAAAGTGGGGCTTCCTCATGCCAAGAAGAGTTCTCCCTGGCGGACCTTGAGTTTGTTTTGCACAGTGGCACCCCAAGTCGTATTCAATACGTAACAGATAAGATAAAAGCGTAGTAAATCGCCAAGTTAATGGAAAATTTGTTCTTGGACTTACTTTTAAATAACCACATACAATGATTAATTTGGTTTTGCACTTATTTTTAGCTCAACCGGCTTATACTCACTTCTGTTCCTAGAAACAGTGAACCTTGATAAATGTAATGACTTTTGTGGTTCCCGTCGCTCCATATGGTTAATCGTTTAATTTTGGCACCCCCAATAATTGAGATTTACGGCTCATTCAAGTTTGTTGCTAGGCCCAAAATTATGAAAGGCTATAAAACCAGAAACGTGATATGATAGTCACATGCGTGCGATTATCACGTTTTGCGATTATTTTTGTTTGTGCCAGTAACAAACAACTGGGGTATTGGTTGCTTGCGGCGCTTCTTTTTGTTCTGGCTTAAGCAAACTGGAACCACAATATGGTAGCATTACATTTAAAATCCAAGTTGGCATAAATTTCTGTTATATTTGAAAGAGGTTTTTATACCCATTAGGACGAAAGATTCAATAAAAGCTATTAAGTCAAATGTTTCTGCATAAAAATATGATCCATTATATTTCCCCTAACAACTTCAGTTTGCGGAAATCTTGAGCCAACGTATTTTCACTAGCTTCTTTGGAAAGAGAACACTATCGCAATTGTCGAGGTCTATAAAACAGTTTTTTTGGCGTTGGCAAACATTCTTCAAGATATGGCCAGTGGGTCAATCCCCAAAAAACGTACCCCTATCGCTTCGCAACGAAAGAAATTGCCCAGACAGTGTTTCTAAATTCGTATCAGCAGCCATGTGATTTCTCGACATTGACGTCACGAAGACCTTTGCCATCGTCACTGATTTTTGGCAGCATTGATAAATTCGAGCATAATTATAGAACCCCTGGCCATTGTTGTTCGGCGAGTGGGCGTGTCAGGTGGGCGGCATCAGCCTCCTTGATCTTGGGTAAACAATCGGAGTGCGAATGTTTGAATGCTTTGTTTGTCCGATCGGCGATCATGCGATAACTTCATTATGCCCACTGGCGATCGTTAAAAATCATTTTTTACGCCGCCATAAATTCGTATTTATACCCCGGCGATATCGGGATGCATATATTGCATTTGAGGCTGAGCCGCAGTTGCAACAAAGGATAAGCCGAGATTCGGATGACAAGATAGCGGTACTCTCGCTTTTTGACTTACGTGAGAAAGTTTTACGACATTGACGCAGTTGACGCAGCTGCTGCGAAGGGCGGTGGAGGGTGGTGGTTGGCGGGTGGTTGTTGGACGGTAGAGTCGATGTTCTGACACAATAACGGTACTGGCGACACGCTGAGCCGCGGATTGCCGCACAATTTACGTAAGCAACTCGAGACGGAGACGGTTGAGAAGGAGGACTTGTGGCCGCAAGGCTTGCAAAATATGCGGCGGAACCGTAACTCTTATCGAATCGAAACGTGCTCGAGCATGTCGACGGGCGATTCGCCAGGTGCTCTTGGCCTGGCCCTCCAATCAGTCACTCGGTCGCAGATCCCCCGCAATTAATCTAATCAGTGGCACTCGCCACGCGTTCAAGGGAGATCGTGCACTGAAAAAAAATTAGATCATTTTGATTTTGATAAAAAATACGAAATTAATTATTTCACTTGGGGTTATTCAGTGTGTCGGGTTGTGCCTTATTTTTATGATAACGCAAAATGTGTGTGTATTGCGATATATTGCGGATCAATTTAATTATAACTAAATTAGTTATTCAAACATACTTTCTTATCACGTTTTTAATTTTTATTTATTCACACCTTCCTAATATATTATATGAAGTAATATAAAATCAGCATCCGAAAAACCTGTTAACAGCTGTATTTCTGTTTTTTATTGCAACTCAATAAAGGTTGGATAAACTGACAAAAGTCGATTATATACAAAGCAATTGGCGTTTGGATATTTTGGATTTTAAACACCTGATTGTATATGTATAAAAATTGATTTATTTTTATTATATAAAACCAAACTCTTACCACACAATTTTTTTCTGCGTAGAGAGAATTCCCTTGGAAATCTGAGCGGTCTGGGTTATTGTGAAATTCAACGAACCTGCGTTAATTTTCCCACAAAGAGAGCTGCTGCGCTATCTGCAAAAGAATCAGGTGAAGCTCTACAAAGGGAGTCCATTTTTATGGAGAGCGTTATCAAATTTGTTTTATGGCCGCGATAAATGGCAATTAAATACTGGAGTTCGGCCGTATCTGTCTATTTCGCTCTCAATTATAGTTGTGGCGCTAATTTCGCACGAACTTGTTTGTGCAAATATTAAATCTACCACTGGGGGCGGGGGTTAATGGGGTGTGTCATATCGGAAAGTGCAATTGCGTTTCGGCCCAGACTTATTTAACTGTTATATGGAACTATGTTTGCTTTTCCGATTAGTTTTTCCACCGAAATGTGCGATGTGCTCCTGCTGAAATTCGCAGATCATGTGAGAAACCAGACCGAACTGGATTGAGAAGTGTGAAAATCCCTCTGTATGCTGAGCATCTTAGTGGGTCACTTATCTGAAGCTCTGTTTCAAACCAAAGTAAAATTATTCGGAATTCATAATGTTTGGCGACAAACAAGTTGTTGATTACTATGTCTTCCCAAGAAGTACATATACTATACTAAAATCAAAAAATCCCCAGATTTATTTCTTTGTTTTCAAAACTGCTTTCTCAGGAACGCGACCGTAATCTGAAATAAGCTGCACGTGATACTAGAAACAAGTGAATAAAAAGTCCAAGCAAATTTACTCAAAATTATTAAAAACGGAAAATGGAAGCGTGGCTACACAATCTTTGCCTTCTTATCAGCACCAAACTCACGCTGGATTTTGCGGAATCATGCTTAATATTCCCCCAGCGACTCTAGGGCAAATATTTTGTAATAATCACCATAAAAACGTTTAAGGTGTCTGGGTAAAGTTTTATTTGCCTGGTTGTTTGTTTACTTTCTTGGTATAACCCGAGCCCCCAACGGGGTTCATTTGTAAAATTTCCCCATTAAAAAACCCGTTCTCGGCGGCAAAATTCATTCATGAGCAGGCGAACCCTGATTTTCAGGGGAATACTAATCAATCTAATCACTGGTCGTGGAAAAGTTCAATGTTTTTCTGCCAGGGTTAACCGTAGTAAACAAAAGTGCTCCGGCTGGAATTGATTACAGCCAAAAATATGGAAATTTAGGCTGTTTATCAGTGGAGAGCTGGAGAATCCCACTGTTTGGCTTTTGCGTCTAAATGCCTCGCATTTATATCCCAGCTCGCTAAAATCCCATCAGCAAAGTGGTTCTGCTTAAGTCCCGACTGATAATTCTTAGCCGCACAATCCGCCGGATTGGAACTCAAAACACTGATAAGCAGGGTGTATTCCGTTGAATAACGCGGCTTACGGGGAAATCCGCGCTCTTAATGTTCGCTTGAACGCCAGATACCGCGTAAATAATAATAACAATATTTTGCATTTTCGTGTTCAGCCGAAGACAACATGTTTGTCTTCGATCCAGGGCGATTACTCGATCCAAGGCGGTTTACCACAAAGAAAGGGGAGGAGGATTTTCACGCAGGGCGTTTAGCACGCGCTCATGACAATCGGCCGAGTGGCTTGCAGCTGAGGAAACTTTGGCTGTGTGTCGCGCGAATCCGAAACTAGTTGCCAGCCAACAGGTTGTAAGTCGAGTGATTGGACTTGTATCTGGGGGCATTCCAAACGGGCAAACGACGAGCGTCTCGCATTGAGAATTATGCTAATTTCCAGCTGGCCGGGCTAGCACCGCTCGACATGATTCACATTCACCTTCGACGACATCGCCGCCACCGGTGAATCTCTGAAATTTGCACTCTGCGCAGTCTCGTCTGCCTTCGGAATCCAGCCAAGTCATGCTGGTGGCTCAATTCCGTATATGGGCAATTGTCAAGCGATCGGGGGCCAAGTCAATATCTAATTTGCATGGCGCGGGGGTCCAAACTTCCCCTTCTCCAATTCGAAGGGGAAAGCTTGGCCGAGAGCCGACTTCAATTGTTCAGTCAATGGCCGCATGGCCCATTACTCAACGCGGAATGGAGTGAGTTGGCCGGATCGAAAGCGGCATTGAGTACCTGCCCGTTCTTTGGAATTCACGCTCGATCCGCGTCGCAGGGTAAAGTACAGGTGGTGAATAAGTGGGAATCGATTGTGCAAGCGCTGTGCGAATAGCAGATCACCTGGATCTTGCCGAACACCGGGTGCTTAAGCCGTAATCGATCCCAGTACTTCACACCCAATTGTTCTAATGCACTGGGGCAATAGTAAAGGTGATAATTGGGGGGTCATAACTGATTCAGAGCGATCTGAAACCGCTTAAAGCCGATGTTGTGCAATCCCTTTGCAAATACGTCCATATGATCATGTAAAATAATCATTATATATATCTGAGGCCTAATAATTATTTAAGAGATTGCTGACTACCTTTAAAATGCCCCCAGATGGAAAGTTTGTGTTGAACAAGCTTGAGCCGTCGTACCACCCCAAAATCGTGTCCAGACATTCCGCCTAACTGACCTATCTTCGGACCACATGGACCCACTGCTAATGGTCCTAATCAGTGGCAAACTTTTGCCCAGTGATTTTCCCACGGCACGAGCTACTCGCATGCTTTTTCCTCCCATCAGCCGGGCTTTTGTCTCTTCTGGCTCGGTCCATCCATTAATTCAACATTGTGCGATGTCTGGCATTGATTGTATTAACATGTCTCGGCTACTTAACAACTGTCTGCTTAGTTAACTCAATTGCCATGATCGCAGACGTGTTGCGACTCGATACTATAAAACAAAGTGGGTCTTGTTTAAAAATTAGAGAGTGGTGTATGAGCTGAAATAACCATTTGTTCGCTATCAAAGTAGTATCAAAGTACGATCCATTTACCGTTTATACGACACCTTTTGGACTGATTATTAAATTTCACCACTTCGAATTACTTTACAGGGTTTTAATATTTCCTGGTTAATAAGCATGACCTATAATTTTAATTGATTTCGCACCGATCGGTGATTGTGGCAATTCCTTCGGTAAACCGAGGATTTTCACACCAGTTATCAATGAGCCACGGGATTGCCTGAAAAATGTTTAAATTGCAAAGCGAAGATTTTTCGAAATTTGTATAACAATCGCCGAGTTCCTTCTGAGGGCATCACTTAGTCGATTGTTGGCCCCGATTTCGGTGTTTATGCGTGGCTCACATTCGAATCGGTTCCGAGAATTTCATTGATAAGGGGCTCCAGCGAGCGCTCTATATGCATGGCACGCTCGATGGGGAAACCCCGGCAAGTTATGCAAAGATTGATGACTCGGCCAAGCGTTCCATATCCGAGGGATTTGCACCCGTTGACGTCAAAAGAGGTCTTCAGTTACTGGAAGAGATTGCTGAAAAGGCTGGATAAATAAAAAGGCAGAGAAAGTTTGGGTTTTTTCAAGTTTTTATTTTGTTTTTCTTTTTAAAAATCTTTTCAATTTAATTTTGTGCTTAAAATTAAATAACATTTTTTTGTGTATGTGTTTTTTATCTCTCTTGGGAAAAGCTAACATAACAAAACTTTAATTTTTACATGCAACTTGCTGGTCTCCTTCATAAGTGCAATTTACAATTTACGGCGTACAGAATAATTGTCATTATCAGTAAATTTGCGCGACGCTTAAAGCGAAAAAATTATACAGAAACAAATTGGCTATATGTATGCATGTGGGGCTCAGCAGCTGGTCACGCGCTTCGGTGTGTGTGTGATGCTCCCCGGGCGAGTGTGCGTGAGTATCTGTGTGCGACTTCCGCGGGTCTCTCGACTGCAACTGCAGGTTCTGCTGCCTCGAAGGTCGCCTTTCAGTTTCGATTCCCTCCGCTCCACTCCACGCCCCTCTGCTCCTCTCCTCGTCTTTTCGAATACAGCTAGGTTAGGGTATTTGTAGCGTACTCTATATATCCTATGTGCCAGTATGCCTGGCGGGCTGTGGCAACGCCCCCAGAACGTCGGTTTCCCTCGGGAACTCTCCAAGACGTTCGGGGACATCAACCCCGGCAACTGGTTTCTTTTTGGATTTTATGCGTTTTAAACCTTGTGTGGCCCACTGTCAGCGGGGCCTGTTCAATGCGAAGCTCTCTGGCCGTCCCGCTCACACGCGCCTACACAGCCGGCAGCTGGACGATGGGGTGCTGGGGGGCGTCCCAGTGGGCCTCGCAGTAGTCGACCAGCTGGTTCTCGGCCTTGGTCAGCTGCTCCTCGGGTGCGTCGGCCCAGACCTTCTGCACCAGGCAGCAGGACTCGACGGAGTCCTGGCCGAGGATGCGGCTCAGCTTGGTGGCGTCGTCCACCTTGATCACGTAGATGTCGTTCTCGTAGCAGAAGGCCTCCAGCAGCACCTCGTGCATGTGGGTGGCGGAGTCGCCGTCCTTGGGCTGGGCCATCAGGCAGAAGAGGGATCCCTCCGGCGACTTCGAGAGCACGTTGATGGCGGCGGACAGGCCCACGATCACCCGCGCCTCGCTCTGGGCCCTCAGAAGGGCCGATTTGACAGTGCGGCCAATGGGGGCGCACTCCATGGCCAGATCGATGTCCAGCTCCAGGTCCATGTCCATCTCTCTTTCCAGGTGCATGGTGCAGGTCTCCTCGACGACCATTGTGTGTGGGTAATCCGTTTGTTGGGTTTTGGTTGGGGTTTGTTGGGTTATTTTCAAGCCGTTGGCTTCCACTTGGCTGTGCACTTTGGGGCTCTTTGTTTTGTTTAGCACTTTTGGCTGGCACTGGTTTGCTTGTTTTTTTTCGAGTGTTTGTTTTAGCGCTCGATTAACTTTTGATTATGAAATTCTTTTCGCACTGGCTCTGCGTTTCTGGCAACCGTTTGTCCGCGTTGTTTCAATTTTGAGTGGCAATTTCACAATGAATGCCCTCAGTTGGCGAGCGAGCGCATTTATAGCCGCGCTCTCCGCCGCCTGAGAATTCCACTGAATTTCATCAGAAACGCGCGAGCGGGAGCTTTTCGGGGGGGGGGCCGCTCTTTGGCTCTCTGGCTCTCTGGGTTGAGCTCGCTCTTTTCAGCTCAAACCGGGTTTTTTTTGCCACTTTTTGGGGATCCGCAAAGATTTCCGTTGATTTGGACGCAATTAGCAGCTCGGGGGTTTCTTTCCACGGCTTGCAAACTGCATTTTTTTGGGCCCGAACATCGGGGTCAGGCAACTTGACGCTGCTCTCACGAAACTCACGCAATCCCATCGCGAACTTCGAAGGTGAGAAAGTGGCTCCCTTAAGTTAAGAGCTCCGTTTTTTATTATCTTTCGCTGGAAAAAACATGTGCAAACATGATTTGAGTGAATCAAAATTAGCTCATCGAATTTCGAACAAAAGTCTTCAAATAAATTTCACTTGAACGATCTTCCTTATTTTCGGGAATACTACATATTTCGCCAGAATCTTGTGAATGGGCCACGAGATTTTGGCCCTCGGCCAGCAGGTGATCATCAACAGGTCCCGAGTGTTTTCTGTTTCGCATCTTGGCGACCAACGCGGCGTATACGCAACGTATACTAGGCGTATGATTAACGAACGACCTTACTTAACGCACTCGAAATGGATTCGGGTTAATTTTATTTCTGTTCTGGCTTCGCACGATCGGCTGTGAACGAACCCGCCATAAATCCATTATTTTGGGATTTTGCCCAGACCATTGGACAAACAGAATCGGAGTGGACAAACACACCGGAGGCTGCTAATCAATTTATCGCAGTATTTCAATTTCAAATTCCCCCGCTCACGCTGCTCAATCAGCACGTGGGAACGTGTCGAAATCGGGAGCAAAGAGCGCTGAGTGAATTTTATCAATTGAACCCTGCAAACTACGCCGTTTTTCGGTGTTTTCACCTCACTTTCCGGCCCGAGTTCAACTACCGCACTTTAATGCACTTTTCAGTGATTAATTGTTTCTTTTATCGCCGCAATTTTTTGAGTTTTGATGGGGTAAGCATAAGTTGGAGGGCTTTGCACAATTTGTTTTGAATCGAACCACCTGAGTTAAAAATAGCACCTGCAAAATGATATTTACATATGTACTCATGTTTTAGTTGTAGTTCGCTTTTTGAGTTGAACAAACTGCTGAAAGGGCCTACAAAAATGAAAACAAGATTTGGGGGGTGTGCTGGTTGTTAATTATTACCTAAGTTTACAGTTGGTTGGATCGGTCGTTTAGAATCGATAGTTGTAAAACGAATATCTAAGATAATAAATCTGTCCGGAAGCCACATTAAGTGTATACCCTAAGCTCCACACAGTGGGACTCATTGAAAACGAAATCCAAAAATAATGTTCGCAATAGAATTCGATTTCAACTAATATTGCAAGTATAAAGTTTAAAGAACCTTCTGGAATAGCAGAGCCACCAATTGGTCAAGATCGGAGCTGCAAAACAACAAAGCACAGATATATTTGTATATGTATGTATGTACATATAAGCTGATTAAAATATTAATGTGGGTTCTTTGCTTTCTCATTCAACTCCCCCGCCAATTACTGACCTATGAGTTGTCGGAAACATAAACAATTGTTTTGCTTACACAGCGCCTACCTAAATGGATCATCCAGGAGGAATATGAAGGGAAATGCAAACGAGGTAGAAACTGCTGAATCAGTTCAGAATTTGCGCGCCAAATTCGCTTCGAAAGTGGCCAATGAACCTGCAGTTGAGCTTGAAGGGGACCCCAAGAATTGGTGACAAAATAGGGGATTTCAAGCTAGATCATAACTCTAAGTTCTTATGATGTTTGCTATATTTCACTATCTACTTATATTTTTATAGAATCTCACGGCAATATTAAAAAAAGACTCTCTTAATATTTTCTATTTTGCTCATTAAACATTTAATAACTAAATTTATTGATTCAAATTTGTATTATTAAAAATTGAAAAAGATATAGCATACTAGCGTTGCATTCCAGCGAAGAACTTAAATTCGCACAAGTTTATAAACGACAATACCCATACTTTGTAGTACTTGGGCGGACGTGTGAATTTGAAATTTTTACTTTCAGCTATGTACAACGTGTAGTTGTATCCAGACGTCACAATCGAATTCTTATAATACCATCAGATATTTTTAGCTTTTTCCGGGGACTCCAATGGGCAACACTACCTTGGGTTGTTTACGGGTAACATGCCACCCGATTATGTGTGCAACATGCCCTCGGCACATGTGATGGAGCTATGTGGTTGGCTTCTGTTACTGGGGACTGTCATTGAGGCCACAGAGTGATCGGTGCATGGAAGAGTGTCTTCGGATCCCTCCACCCATTGGCGGATGCCCAAGTGCTGAGTCACGCCGGCACAGCACTAAACTGGGCCCAAACCCACGGCAGCCGAAGAGTAGCAGTGATTCAAAGCTGAAGAGCAGCAGTGAGTCAGAGCCGAAGAGAGTGCGAACTGGTTTCACGACTTCCCCGAAAGTGCGTTTGCTCTGGGCCCCAGTTGGCGTTCAAAGCCAGTCCAAAGTCCTCACCTGTCGTACCTGCGGCCAGTCACCAATTCCGAACGTACCAATTCAATATCACGTGCACCAGCATCACGCTTCGAAACGAGTTCTCTTTTGGCCAGTCCCCAAAGTGCATTTATGTATGCAGTGCAGCTATGCTGGGGGGTTTCCCATTTATCGCTCGCTTTTGGGAAAACCCCAATGTCCATGGGAGTTCTCTGCGAAAAAGCCCCACTTCAAAAAGGCAGTGGTTTCATTCGATCTCTGGTCGTTTTTCCCCACTCCGAATGTGGCATTAAAGTCTTAATTGTTTTTTTTGCACTTCAAGATAAAGAGTTATCGGGCCATATTGCAGAGTCCAAGAGGGGAGCGTTCTTCCCAAATCTGAGGGCGTGTCTCTCAGTAAACATTATGAACAAACCTTGCGAATGCATTTAAATTAATGGTGAAATGGTTTTGGCTCTTCTTTGGAGAGATATACATACATATTTGCACTGCAGAGTTCTGTTTATGTTGAACGACTTGTTTTTAAAACCTTGCGAAATTAAAGGTTCACAGAAATAAATGCTTACAAAAGAGAAACAGAAGAGAAAGCACTGTGTTTATGAATTAAATTTTATTAGAAAGATTTTGTTCTCTCTAAAACAAATTAGGTAAAAATTACAATTTTCAATTTACAATAAATTTTATTTAAGTTTGTACATTGTGTAAAAATAGTTTTCAAGACATTTTAGGCCAAAAAGCAGTTTTCACAAATTGTAATTAAAAGTCTTTTTCTGTTTTAATGGTTTTAATATTTAATATTTGTGTCCATTCTATTTAAAATGTCTATAATACACGTAAGGGGTATAAACGTTTATTGTAAACACATTTAAAATGTTTATCGTAATAGATAATTTAAACCTTCTTAATTTATTTAAATTTTTAACGACCATAACCGTTTGGTTACGTTGCAAGTAATGGCAACCCTGGCTACTCTCTTTCTCTCTTGTTATCTGGCTCAAAAAGCTTTATCATCCACGTGCTTTTTCGCCGGCTGAGCTTTTACTTTGCTCTTTCTCTGAATTTTGCTTCCTCTTCCCTGTAAACAAAAACACTTGATCAGCTGTTTCTATCCCGGTTCTAGTGCTGGTTAACATAAAAACATTACACAGGTAATTTATGTAATTCGCCTAATAGTTGCCGTTAATTATACAATAAAGTCATTACCGATAAGTTGATGGCATTTCGAATTCTAATTCTTATCTGAATCACATAAGTTCTGGTGCAAAAAGTTGTTGCGGAACTTTAACGCCAGCGCAGTGCCAAAAGCTCAGTGTTATTGAAAACCCCACAAAGTCAAAAAAGTCGAAGAAGACAAGCAAAATGCGAGGTGGCAGAAAACCAACAAAGAGTGGCTCTTTGTAAGCCGAACGCAAACCGAAAAAAAAGAAGTTGGCTCGATCCGGACTAATTGCCTGAAATGGGCTAGCTGGGAAATAACAAAACACGCTGTCGCGAGCGAGATAAAAACACCGGGGCAAACCGGACAGAGAACTCAGTTCTCCGCCGAACGACAAAAGCGGCGCACCATTATTTCACTTTTCACCCGTGGCTCCGTTCACATCGCACGTTCGAGCAAATAGAACGCGAAAATCCCGGCGGAGCGTTAATTTTTGCATACAATGGAGTACCTGAGCTACGTGTACGAGAAAATCTTCGGGGGCAGTCCACCCACAACGGACGACACGGAAGGGGCTTTCCACACGTGAGTGGTTTGACTCGGAAAAGCTCTCTGTAGCGAAAACCCCCTCTGATTATCGGGTTCTCCCCTTTTCAGACCCCGCAAGGTCATCTGCTTCGGGAACGTCCTGCTAGACCGACTGGTCAAACTCGAGGATCCACAACTCCTGGAGCGTTATGGATTGGAACTGGGATCCAAGGGGGAACTCGACATGGAAAAACTTAACCAGTTGGCGGCCGAAGCGTCAGAGAGGTGAGCATATCGATTTTGTAATCTTCCAGATACTCTAATCCTTATTAAATAATACTTTGAAGATAATTCTTTATTGTAATTAAAAGTAAAGGAAGTGTTCAAAGTACTGAAGTTTTTAATACTTTTAACAAATGGTGTTAACAATAAGTTTTCAGCATTGTGCATAAATCTCCTCACTTTTTTAAATTTTCCGTGTTGCTTGAAAATGATGTTCAAACCGCTGTTAGCCACGAAAAATTTGGACTTGCGAAGATGATTGCGTATTAAAATAAATAGGGCAAGCAAACTGGTTTTGCTTTCAGAAGCCGAAGTTAAGGAAGTCCGAAACAAAGAATATTAACAATAACATACATATATATATATATATATATACATGTACTGAATTACAATTCAATACGTAATTGGTTAAGCATTCTTGGTATAGATACTAATCCGAACCAAATCCCTTTCAGCTCTCAGTGCCTTACAAATCCGGGTGGCTCTGCCCTCAACACTGCCCGCATCCTCAAGCAACTGGGCACGGATGCCCTGTTCTTTGGCGCCGTGGGCGCAGATAAGCACGCCGAGGAGCTGCGCCTGATCTTCAGGGAGCGTGGCATCGAGGCCATGTTGCAGACGGTGGAGGAGGCACACACCGGACAGTGCCTGTGCCTCGTGTACCAGGACAACCCCACGCTGTACGCCAACATCGGGGCCTCGGCCCAGTTCGAGGTGCAGACCCTGAGTCACGCCGTCAGCCACGAGGGCCAGAGCTTCCTGCGGCCCGTGGAGCGCAAGCAGATCCTGTACCTGGAGGGCTTTTTCGTGCCCCAAAGGAGCGAGGTGTGCGACTACATAGTGCAGCACTTGGTGAGGGAGCGGCGGCGACTGGCCCTCAACCTCAGTGCTCCCTATATAGTCAAGAAAAATCCACAAGCAATGCTGAGGCTGGCCCGCGTTGCCTTCTTTCTGTTCGGCAACCGACAGGAGTTTGAGGCGCTGGCTGAGGCAGCGGGAGGATTCCGCGACGTCGACGAGCTCGCGCAGCACCTTCTGCAGTCCGGCGGCACCAAGGTCATCTTCGTCACGAACGGCAGTGCCGGCGTGCAGGTGATCACCAACTATGTGGAGGAGCTGGCTCCTCCTGGGCCCGTCAGCTTCGAGGACTACAGGGCGCAGCGCGTGGAGCAGGTGGTGGATGCCACTGGTGCAGGGGACGCCTTTGTCGCTGGGTTCCTGCACGCCTGGCTGGAGAAGCGGTCGCTGGGCGAGTGCATCCGCATGGCCTCCAACGTGGCCGCCAAGGTCGTCACCCAGGTGGGCTGCAATCTGCCCTAGCCCACATGCAGTGCAATCTCGGAAAGCGCACAATCAAGCACCAAAGTAGAATCATAGCATGTAATTGCTCCCGCAATCTCCACAAACCTTAGGCTTACTCAAACCGTTATCCACGGATTCCCACAAGCAATGATCATTAGTCACAATTTGACTAAATAAAAGTGATTTACATTTCGCCCACTGAAAGATAAGAGAATTAATTGTGTTGTGTGTTTTTTGTATATACATATATTCAAATGCGTATCATAGAGAAATGCCCGTAACAAGGTGAGAAAGTTAGCTACCTCAACATCTAGGTTGTATTATGTTATTGTTTTAAACAACAACATTTCAACTGTATAATACTAGGACTTTTATATTCGGTTTCCAAAGTCTATTCCGCCCACTAGAATATCTATCCAGCTCATGCCATAAAAATTAAATTTGACCTTCGGAAGTACGCGTAGATAAAAAGTGAAATGTTTAGTAGAGCATATAGCCCACATCTTATCATCTTTTGCTATGAAATCACCGGAACAGTCGTTTTAATGTTTAAATATAGATTTGAGAGAAAAAGTTTATGTACAGTGGGTATAAACGTGATAATTTTTCACAAAAAGAGACATCTTCTTTAATTACTTTTTGAAAGGGGAACAAAATTAAATCAAACTTTTAAAATAAAAACAATAATAATTATTTTACATTCAGTGTTTATGCATACATACTATATTCCCACAGTGATTCTGAAGTAATCGTCAGATAAATGAAAGCTGGCGATTGTTCGACCTCAATTGGCTTGCTATTGTTAATACGGCATTATTGCATTATTCACTCGATCGCCGGAGTTCCCAGCGTTGTGCCGTTGTGTGAATCGTCATCCGAAGCCGTTATCGTTCACTTAATTCCCCCAGAGATCCCTGAGTCCATAGCTTTTCCCTGGTCCACATTCCTTGCGATGCAACAAACGATTCTCATTTTCCTACGCCGGCTTAGTCATACGTCTTGTATATATGCGGTGTACATCCCACACGAGTCAGTCAATAAGTGACGACTTGGCCCGCAGAGAACTCGCATGGCCAGATGCCATCAAAGCGAATTCCGCATTTGCCAGTGGTTGTGGGGGAGGATTGGGTTCTGGTTCTGGTTCTGGCGACACACATGTTGGCGAATCGTTAACAAAAACTAAGCCGCATTTGGCATGCTTGTGTGAGCAGGCCAAGAAGACTTAGGCCAGAGCAGCTGATGCCAAAGGAGCTGGAGGACGGAAGCCCTGAAAACAATAAAGAAGCTCGGGCTTAGGCCGAAAGCAATTCCGCACTTTAAAGGCCAATTCCGGGATCAGCGTAGTGAGCTGCCTAATTGGCAAGAAGCCGCTTAAACGGGCCAAGTGGAGCCAGGCGAAATGGCGGTGGGAATGTGCCAAAGCCAATATTGACACACCCACCCAATTGAGTTTATCGAGGGGTTCGCAGTCGGTCCTGCTCAAATCACAACATCCTGCCCCTGTTAATTACTCGATATTAATTTTATACCGGTCGGGAGGGATCCGAGCACCCTTTCTCCAGTCCTTTGCTCCGATGGCTTTCTATGCTCTGGCCACTGGCTCTGAAAGTGCCAGTCCTTTGTCGGGTCCGTAATTAATGTCATCGTGTGGTTTACGGGGTTAACAGACACTCCGCAGACGGAGCTCCACTCCGGCCTTATCCCTTTGATGTCTGCGTGTGTGTAATGGCCCTGGCCAGACTAACCCAAGGCTCGACTAAGATCCTCACTAGCACGTGATAATTAAATGCCCTCATTTGCCCTGCTTAGCATTTTAATTTACAATAAATTGCGCTTCGGAAACGAAAGTTGCCAGGTAATCACTGAACGAAAGCACTTGAAAAGGTTTTAACTGTATGTATTTCATTTTAACCTTAATTAACAGTACTAAGTTGTCATTTTATAACTGTAACGTTTAAATTATACAAATTATTAGTTAACATTTAAGCCAAACTAAACCAAATAAATCCATATTAAAGCCATAAAAATTAAATACTTGAATATGTATTTATCTCCTAATTTCAACGTTTCAGTAGAGTAATTTATTTCAGTGTGGGAAATGCACAAAAGGTTTGCCTGCCGTTTGATTTATGTGCAACGCTGCGTATGAGCAACCAAATGGGGCAGCTGTAACTGACATTGCATATTTGTCCTCCCACCCGCCCTTCCCCTCCCCCTTCTCCTCCTTTTCCATTAGATCCTCTGTCGAGCATGTTTGCACAAAATATTGCGCATACGCCGCCAGTGCCCAACCTTCTTTGCCGTTCGGCTTTGTCCTTTTGCCTTTTTGCGGCATAACGCGCGGTTAAGTGGCCATAATGTGTGCCTTTATGGGCTTGGCATTGGCATTGGCATTGGCACTGAACTCCTCTTCGGCTTGGTGGCTTCGAGGCTTGGTGGCTTGGTGGCTCGTGGCCCTTGTCCTGCTCCCATTTTAATTCCTTTGCCATATTTGCTGAGCCAGCATTGTTGCTGAATTATGTTATGCCAGTCGGTCGCTTGTTGATTTTTATATTGTTTTTTTTTGTTTGTGTGTGTCTGAACTGGACCCGCTTCCAGATCCTGCCTTCCTGGACTTTCGGTTGTCCTCGTCGGCATGATAAGCGACCAGGCCAAAATATTTGGCTCCGGCATGTTTGCCCAGTTGTTTGCGGATAATCCGGTTTTATTGTTTAATAAGTCATGCCGGCTATCGCTCCAGACCGTCCAACCTGTCCGTTCTCCAGCCCCGATTTTCCCCGAGTGTCTGACTGAAAACGTTAGCGGCTCGTTGGCTTTTTGACTGGCTGTGCGACAGAGCGTGGAAGACCTTTTTTTGGAGGGGGATTTCCGCCATGGGTTCGGAGGAGCGTGGCGAAATCGATGGCCAAATTAAGTGGGGATTTGCATATTGCAGCAGCAAGAGCTGTATATTAAAGGGATTTCTCAATGACTCATTTGTTGAAACCAAAGTTCCAGCGGGAGCAAACGCTGTGCTTCAATCTCTATTGCGAAATTGGTACTGTTATTGTTTATGTTTTAAATTATCAATCAGAATGCTATTATTAGTATTGTGTGGCAAAAAATCTTTTTTCCTCCTTTCTATTTTCATGTTCGTAAATTTTAGTAATTAAGGGGAGGTTCTTTTTTTTTTTTTTGAAAAAATCGATTTTTTTTTTTTTTTTTATAAAATGAAAGTTACATATGTTTAGAATATACGTGCCAAAGGATATTTCGATACGACGCGTATTTCTTGAGCTAGAGCGTGTCAAACATACCCATGTCACAAACGCTCTAAAAACTTTAAACGCGTTTTTCTCGGAACCATGTTTTCAAACCTCTTGTCGCGCACAGGGCTCGTTCTATTGATCCGATTTCCTTCATTCAAAAAATTTTTGAAAGTATATACTTTTTTGTATGCCTATACCTAAAATTGGCATAAAAACTTGTTTATTTATAATTTTTAAACGAGATCGAAGTAAAAAAAAAGTCCATTTTTTTTAAATGTCCATAAAATTGGTTTATTTTTACCAAAATTGATTCTAGTTAAGTATAAGGCATAGGAAATTCCATCAATTTTAATAAATAATTTACATTTTTAATTTCGGTTCACTACCAGCGGCCCGACACTCGACAAAGCAGAAAAATAGAGGTCTACGAGATCCGCCATTTTGAAGCCGCCATTTTGAATTTTCTGAATATTGAATTTTTTTTTTAATTGTTAATAAACAACGAATCAAAAGTTCAAAAGCATAAGTTCGTATGTCTTTTCATTTTTCCGCAATTAATTCTCAAAGTTTGCTTAATTTTCGAAAAAAAGAAAAGAACCTCCCCTTAAGCTAAATAAATAATTTTGTTTTAAAATTAAATTGAAATTCGACCTCCCACTCTAGTTTCACGAAGTTTTTCATTGTGGGAATCTTGGGATACGATATTTTTTTTAACTGTGACTACTAGCTTGTTTAAATATTGTCTGAGTTGAAATTTTGAAATGTCCACTGTAAAATTTTCGGAAATATTATTGAGTAGCGAAAAATGAAGCATAATATTGTTGAATTTAAATATACAGTTTCGTGATCCTCTTGTTTAATGTGTTTTAAATAAGTCTCTTTCAGCTCAAATCCAAATCGATAAGTGTAATCAAATTAAATGGCAATCGATCCAAAACAATTTAAATTGGTGAGAAATCGTAGTTATTTTTAGCCTTAAAATTTTATGTAGTTATTAAGTGACATTTCAAAAACGTGAATCTCATTGCTAGGCTTTCCATTTGGGCCTTCGCAATCGCAATCGCACTTCAATTACATTACACTCATCATTAGCCAATTAGCTAAATTATAGGCTGCGCCACGACAGTTGCCAAATGGCTCCAGTTCCCACTTCCATTTCCTATTTCCCACTTCCCACTTCCCGTTTCCACTTCCGTTTCAATTCCCACTCCCAGATCCATTTATATTCCCAATCGCAACCCCACAGATTGCCCTCCTCGATGGCGACAATTGGTGCGAAATAAAAGACATTTGCCCAGCACTTTGCGGCACAGTCTGAAGTGGAATCGGCTTAGATTGAATACGGAGGAATGGCACTCGAGGATATTGGCCTGGTGGGCATCAACGTGCGGATGTGGCGGCACTTGGCCGTGCTGTATCCCACTGCGGAGACCAACTGGCGGAAGTTCGCCTTCGTCCTGCCCGTGAGTGCGATGAATCTGATGCAGTTCGTCTACCTGCTGCGGATGTGGGGCGACCTGCCCGCCTTCATCCTCAACATGTTCTTCTTCTCGGCCATTTTCAACGCCCTGATGCGCACGTGGCTGGTCATAATCAAGCGGGTCCAGTTCGAGCAGTTCCTCGCCCGCCTCTCCGCCCTTTTCTACTCGATTCACGAGTCCACCGACGAGTGGGGGCGTGACATCCTGAGGCGGGCGGAGCGCGAGGCCCGCAATCTGGCCATCCTGAACTTGAGTGCCTCCTTCCTGGACATCATCGGAGCCCTCCTCTCGCCGCTCTTCAGGGAGGAGAGAAGTAGGTACTCTTAGAAAAGGCAAAGCATCAAAACGATGAACTTACACTTTTATTAATGAGTGAAATTAACTTTAAACTTGAAAAAATTAAACTAAAGACACGGCTTTTGTTGAGAAATATTTTGTACACAAAAACTTGTTTCCAAAAAGTTATATTAGCCCAGCCAAAAAAGAAAACTTACAACCTTTTTCTAAAAATATAGGTAAATAGTATTTACATTTTATTTAAAGGTTTGAAGAAGTAACACCAAAGATTACCCCTAATGTAGAAATGTCCTTTAATGTATTTTTTCAATAAGTAAAATACTTGAATTTGTGCAGTTTTCCCTGTCAATTTATTCCTCCTGTTCTCTCGTTTTCTCTTAAATAACTGTATCCAAAAATTAAAGACAATCAAGTTTCAATTATACCAAAGTTCTTTAAAAGACAGATAAGTTGCTTAATAATAACTGATCAGAAATTAGAAATTATTTGCTTAGCCTAAGGAGCAAATATATTGCGGTAGGATTCCATAAAGTCTGAATCCTGGTTGCAAGGTTGGTCATTTACTTGTTGTCTCGTGTTTCCCTGCTTTCAGCTCATCCTTTTGGAATGGCTCTGCCCGGAATGAACATGACCCGCAGTCCGGTGTACGAAATAGTTTACTTGGTCCAGCTGCCCACGCCCCTCCTGCTCTCCATGATGTACATGCCATTTGTGAGCCTCTTTGCCGGCCTGGCCATCTTCGGGAAGGCCATGCTGCAGATCCTGGTGCACAACTTGGGCCAGATTGGCGGGAGGGAGCAGCCGGAGGAGGTCCGCTCCCAAATGCTGACCGCCTGCATTCATTACCACACGCAGGTGATGGGGTGAGCCGCAATGTGAAGGGGATTGGAGGTCGACGGATCTCTAAGCTTCTCATTTCCATTCCAGCTATGTGGGGGAGCTCAACAAACTGGTAACCAACATTGTGGCGGCCGAAGCAATTATCTTTGGCTCGATAATCTGCTCACTGCTCTTCTGCGTGAACATAGTACGATATTGATTTTATCAGCGTTGTCACAAAATACAGAGATTTTCGTTTTCCAATTTTTCATATAATTCAACTACGAAAATAACATTTGAAATAAGTCGTTCATATCTGCAATTCTTTTATTTCAATATTATTTAATTTTGAAGGTATTGCAAATGCTGTTTAAGAACTAAAAAAATTTTATAGAAAATTTATGTACAATTTTAATCAATTTTCATTTTATTCCTGAAGGGTTTGAAAAGCTGCATTAGCAATTTTATCCACCTCTTGGAACAAATTTGAATTTCAGTATTCCATTTTTCTATATGTTTTAATTTAATTCACTTCACAGATAACTTCTCCGACTCAAGTTATCTCAATTGTGATGTACATCTTCACCATGCTCTACGTGCTCTTCACCTACTACAACCGCGCCAATGATCTGAGTATCGAGGTAATCGCAAGAATTGAATTTACTTGTAAACATTATTTAATCTTGTTGAATTCCTGTAGAATAACAGAGTGGCGGAGGCCGTGTACAATGTGCCCTGGTACGAGGGCAGCCCTCGTTTTCGCAAAGCCGTCCTGATCCTGCTGATGCAGGCCCAGCATCCTTTGGAGGTGGGTGATGCAATTCATTTGCGAGTCCGTGATTCTAATCCGTTTCCATTTCGGGTGCGGTGCGCTCCATTTCACTCCGCAGATAAGAGTTGGCAACGTTTACCCCATGACTTTGGCCACGTTTCAGAGTCTGCTGAATGCGTCCTACTCGTACTTCACCATGTTGCGTGGCGTCACCAGCAAATGAGCTGAAGGACCGAAAAAACCGGCATCCATTCGGCACCAAAGGATCCCCATCCCCAAACATCCCCATCCCTTGCTCCCTGTTTTTCCCTTTTCACTTGGCCGGCAATCCGAGTAATGCAAAAAGTTGTTGTTGGCTGTGGTTCTGCTGTTGTTTGGCATTTGCATATGCTTGTCGTTTGAAAGGATTTAATCGGACTGCTGGCACGGAGTCGAGATCCTTGTTCCTTGCTCCTGGCATGCAAATAGTTTGCTGCACGAGGGGAGCACCGCTTTGAATTGGCTTCTTAGATTGTTACACAAAATAGATTGTAGATTACAGCAAAATGTTGTGCTTGAAATAAAGTCAAATGAATGTAGAGTAGGATTCCAGCTCAGGCGATGGTTTACTTCCCCGTTTCCGATTTCTGTTTGCTCGGAGTGCCTAAAAGTATGATTTACAGATATCAAAGGATTTGTGGCGGAGACGGATTTCAATTTGGCTAGCAAGATGGTCCAGAATGATATGAATAAGTAAACATCTGGTCTTCCAGCCAATTAGTGTTCATATTGATTGAGTTTAGTTAGTTGGAGCTCTTGTCGAGCTTCATGCATTTTTTATTGTCGATTTTGCATGCATATTTTCGGGCTGCCGTTGAATATCCCAAATATCTGAGGGTCCGTTCTCTTGCGCTTTTAATTAAAATACCCAAAACTAGTCGTGTCTGCTGCAATTTAATTAACATTAGTCATGTCCTTTATTATGCAAATATACGGCTGCTGGCAGCAAGATCGCTTAATGCCGGCCCGACAGCAATAACAACTTAATTTAAAATTCATTATAACTGACACCAACTAGTTAAACAATTGCCAGCGGCCAAGGGCGGCGGGAGCAAAAACATCAACAGAAACAAAGGACCACCAAACAGGGAACAGGAGCAAAACAACGGCGAAGGGCGCGCTTTGAAAATTGAAATGAGCGGCGGCAGGCGCTCTTGAAATACGCAAATAAACTTCAAAGAAGGACGACTGCACGCTGTGTTCTCCTTGCTGGGTGTCCTGGCGAGCGCATAAATAACAATGGAGGGCGGAGGACGGAGAACTAAGGAAGGACGAGCTCCTGGGCTGCTCCTATCGCCCGGCCCGAGTGGCGTATACTTAATTTTATTATGAGGTGTCAAGTGCGGACCAGTTGACTTGCCAGCCGAACGCCTTTTGTGTTGTATTTTGTGTTTTGCCCCGTTATTTATGTTGCCCGCTGCCCGCCATTTGGTGGCAGGTGAACGCCTACGCGCCACGCCCCCTCCCTTCGGCCAGCAAAAATGTGAACTTCCTCTGGGCTTCTACTTTTTCTTGACACACTGAACAAAATCTTATCAGACATATCCAAAGGTTTGTGGCAAACTTGCCAAAGATGATTTCTATTCCTTTTAAATGTATATAAATGTAAATGTAATCTGTAAGCACTTTAATTCCTTTTTTATGGAGAATATAGAGCTTTACTTTATTTATAATCTAATTTAAAGAAATGTTTCGGAAGCTAAGACAGCTGGAATACAAGATACGCTAAACTAGTCCCCAGTACAATCACTGTATGATTCAAAAACAAAATCATAAATTTAAATATGTATTTGCAATTTAAGCTGTATCTTTAATTTTACTAAGCGATTCGAATTACTTTTTTTTACTGTGCACAGCACCTATAGTTCCGCTGCTCCTGTTGCCAGCTGGTCCTTTGATTTTTTATGGAGGCAATATGCAAATGCCGCCGGAAATGTAAATGCGCCACTCCGAGTGGCAGAGTGGCAGAGGGACACCCTGACAGTATCGTGTCCTGCGAGTCCTCATTGTCTGCTGCATAAAATTAACAAGTTCCGCTCGCGCTGTGGCAAAAAACTGTTTCATTAGAGAACAGTTCGTGGTCGCGGTCGCCTGCCACGCCCCTCGCTACGCCCACCCGCCCAGAGTCACACCCCCGAAGGTTACGTCGTTTTATAATTGAATTCATATGCATCAATGAAGGCAGCTCAACAAACACGGCACAAAACCCAAAGGGAAACTCCAGCTTGGAAGGGGTAACCACAACATGGAAAACAGGCGACACTCGGGGGTGGTGCGGTTTTTCCTGGTTTTCCGGGTTTTCCGGGCTGGGTGGCCCACTTTTTCGGTGGCATTTTCAATTTTAAATGGATTTTCAATTGCGGCGGGGGCATTTTGCATAAATTGCTATAATGAGTTTATTCCGAAGCCCTCCAAGTGGCTTCGTTGGCGTCTCCCCATGTCCGTGTGCAAATATGCCAGGATGATACGAGCTCCGTGCTCATTTGCAGTTGTCACCAGTGACAGTCGTATTGACAGTTGCTTTCGCTGTTAATTCTCGTTTTAATTGTGGCACTCGGTGACAGTTGATGCTGGAACTTTGTTGGCTGTTTTGCGGTCGGCAGAGGGAATTTAATTTGCGTCCGCAGTGGATTTGCATTCCGCAGAGGAGTGGGCTCAGCTTTAAGTGCCGGAAGTTGGTCTCCAGTTCGGGGGGATTGAGTGCTGTCGGTCTAACCACCAACCCTTCGGCTGGGCCATCAAGTATTCCATCCATTGTCTGTCGGGTCATTTGCGAAATCTCTCATAAGCAAAGCATTCATTTTCCAATTATTTATTGATGCCTCTGTGCCGCACTCCCCCACCACAATTCACCTGCAATAAATCTCCGGAGCTCCCTGGCTGCGCCTCTCCCCTCTTGCGAGTCCTTGGACAACCACATTGTCTAGCTTCCTGCAGGATGTTTGTCTGTGCGCTCCACTACTGTGTGCTGGCTGCTGGCTGTTGTCTGCTGCCTGGTGCCTGGTGCTCGGAAAATATTTGCATTTTCACTTTTGATTTATTATTGCCATTGCCATGTGTAAATTGCCAAAGCAGAGGTGCAAACAAGGCAAGGAGTGCGGCAGGCGTCTTGCAGGAGGCGCCGCAACTGCAGCTGCAGGTGCAGGCAGCGTTGACAAGGACACATTATGTTTGGCCAAATGAATGGTAATTGCGGCATCGAAACAAGCAATTGAAGTGCAAGCCAGCAGATTGCCAACTCGGTGTCGGCCAGGAGTCGACCGCACTTCGATTGCGACGGAGTTGGCCCAGAAAGAGGTCATTACAGTTCTGCTAATTACAAGACCGAATTAGAGGGGCTTCCCCGGGGCTCGTTCCTCGGTCCTCTGATGCCATTGCCAATTACTTCCGCCTCTGTGCAATTTCCGCTCGCAAAGGTCGGAGCTCCTAAGCAGCTTTTCTGGAAAACGTCAAAACAGCGACAACTTTATATGGCCACAAAGGCAAACAGTAATGACGGCGAAAAGGGAAACATAAGCAGATAATTACACAGGCGAGCAACTATCTCCGTGCATCTTCTTCCGCCTTCCCCGCTGCCCCGCTGCCCCGCTACCTCGCTATCCACAAAGTAGAAAATTACAAAAATAAAAAACCACAAGCGGAAAATTAAGAGCAGCAGCCTGCGGTCCACAAGGAAGGGCAGACGGCCGGGAAAACTCCATTTGTTTGCGGCCCAACTTGGCCGAACTTAAAGTTCATCTTCGAGTGGCTGCCCGAGGCCTAGAACTTGATCGGGCCTTGATTATCACTGCAAATGGGAAATTCCTGTTCGGCGAAATTCCACCCAGCCGAGACTGAAGACTGGGAGACGCGGGGACATTTTCGGCATTTTTGACTGTCTGCCAGTGCCTGTAAGCGAAATGCAAACACGGAGTCGACTCCCCATCTCCCATCTGCCACCATCCATACCATTTAGAGCACCCCAACTACCCAAACAACCCCATCAACCCCGACCGTTGTGTCTGCCCTGCAGCCACATTTAAATATGCCGCCAAGTTCTACCTTCGCTCCGACGCCCTCGCAAGGCCTCAAATCCGAATCCGAATCCAAGTCCCAGCCCCTCGTTATCATCGTCGCACGGGATGGCGGGGCTGGCACTGATTTCATGCTTTATAACTTTCGATATCCGAATGGCAAACAGCGTTTAGCGCTTTGCCACGCCACCTCGAAACTGCCGGCAAGTGTTGCTCTGCTACCTGAGGGGCCATCACGGCGTATGCGCAATGTTTGCCCAGCATTTTTCTTCGTTTTTTCACCTTTCCGTGGTTCAGTGGTTGTTTTTTCAAGGGCTTTACATTATTCGTGGCCAGGGTTGGGGGGTTGGGGGGCCCTCATGGCGTATGCATGATACATCAAATATTTAAGCAATATTTTAGCTATGCCGACAATGAGTCAAATCTGAAGGAATGTCTGGGGACCTTCCGCCTGCGATAATAAAGTTTAGAGATAAACGATTCGGCAATCGAGTTATGCTGCTCGGCAGCCCAGGGGATTTGATTTTATTTACATATACATATTCCCGCTCGGAGAGCGGAATGCGGAATTTATTGGACTCTGTTTGAGAAGTTTAAAGACCTGGACAAAATCGGTTAACAGGGACCACATGATATTGTTATTCTTGTCGTAATTAAAAACCCATGAAAGCAGGGACGGCGACCAAACAACTGGCTACTGGCCACAATCGCATGGCCAGACACAGATACACACTCAGGAAGACAATCAGACAGACACACACACACACACTCACACACAGACTGAGAAACAGATAGAAGGATCCTGGGGGCCTGCATGTGTGCGGCAAAACAAACATGAAGCGTATTGATGGCAAGGCGTCCTTCCCAGGCAAAAAGTTTCATATCAATTTTAAGCCAAAGTAATGAAAAAGTAACAACAACAGTCAAAGGAACAGGAAACACGAAGCAGAAGGAGCAAAAAAAAAAAATTAAAACCAGCGCTATAGACAAAGCATATTTGCACGCAGCGAAAAGGACTCCCTCCCCTTTCCACCAGGATGATGATGAGAATGATGATGGGAATGATGATGATATCGTTGACGAGGCAGCACACAAAGCAACGCTAACGCTTTATGACAGCCCAATGGGCCACAGGAGAATCTGGGGAATCGGAACCCATTTCTTCGTCCTC